CAATTGGCTTGCAGTTCAAGGAAATGGTAATCTCCACCCGGAAGGAAATGGAGGGAAAGATTGACTCCATGAGAATCTTAGACAACTCAAATCCTCAGAAGCCAGTAGTGCGCATGGCAAATTTGTGCGTAGTGTCTGCCCATACGGTAAGTGCAGTTATTTGTGTTTGATGCTCAATGTTCTATAACCTTTTTCACAACACAACTATTCATCATGTCCATTCTAATGGAAACTACCTTGACCATCTTACCATCAATATGGATCCCCACTATTTTTTTAAGTATGTCAACATTATTTGCTTTCTCATATAAGTTGAGGAGGTCGTACTGAAGTGTGCTGAATTCTCTCCACAGGTGAATGGAGTGGCTGAGTTACACAGCAACATTTTGAAGGAAGAGCTTTTTGCAGACTATCTCTCTATATGGCCCAACAAATTTCAGAACAAAACAAATGGAATTACACCTCGTAGATGGCTCCGTTTCTGCAACCCAGAGTTGAGTGAAATAGTAACAAAATGGCTAAAAACAGATCAGTGGACAAGCAACCTTGATCTTCTTACCGGACTTCGGAAAGTATGTGTGCATCCTTCTAAACCTTGCACCATTTTTCCTTGCTATTACTCATCTGACTACTTAAGTATAACCGAAAGCGTTACAGTTTGCAGATGATGAAAAGCTTCATGCTGAGTGGGCATCAGCTAAGTTGGCTAGCAAAAAACGCCTAGCCAAGCATGTGTTGGATGTGACAGGTGTTACAATCGACCCAAATAGCCTTTTTGATATACAAATTAAACGCATTCATGAGTACAAGAGACAGCTGCTAAACATTTTGGGAGCTGTTTACAGATACAAGAAGTTAAAGGTACTAAAGACTCCCCATACTCTTCAGTAATACCATGCTTGTCTAAATTTAAATGGAAGTTCTCAATATTTCGGTTCTGAAATAGCCTTATGAATCTTGTAGGGAATGAGTGCAGAGGAGAGACAAAAAGTTACGCCACGCACTGTCATGATAGGGGGAAAAGCATTCGCGACTTACACCAATGCCAAAAGAATAGTAAAATTGGTAAATGATGTTGGTGCTGTGGTGAACAATGATCCTGATGTTAATAAATACCTAAAGGTATGGAACTTTTGCATTCTATCGCATCCAAAACAAACATGTCACTTCTCAAATTGGCCATCAGAGTCTTATATGTCCACCATCTATTCAAAATAATGTCATTATCATATAGTGAGTAATATTAAGATAATCTAGATTTGTAATCCTTACACAAATATTTGATTGTAATTTTGAATTAAAATGTGGACCTCCTTGTTCCTCTCAGGTGGTGTTCATTCCCAACTACAATGTATCTGTGGCCGAGGTGCTCATTCCTGGGAGTGAACTGTCACAGCACATCAGTACCGCAGGCATGGAAGCAAGTGGAACGAGTAATATGAAATTCTCTCTGAATGGTTGTGTTATCATTGGTACTCTTGATGGAGCTAATGTTGAGATAAGAGAGGAAGTGGGACAAGAAAATTTCTTCCTTTTTGGTGCCAAGGCAGATCAAGTTGCTGGGCTGAGGAAGGATAGAGAGAATGGCTTGGTAAGATATTTTCTTTCTTTCTTTCTTTTGAACGAAGCTTGGTAAGATATTTTCTAGTAGATAAGTGATATACAACCATTATTAGATGAGCTTGACTTGCAAATAGCTAAATTGAATTTGTTGGTATTGTTAGCTTATTGATCTGGTATATATTTCTCACAAGTGGATGAATTATCATTAACCTTGCTTACGTTACCAACAGTTCAAACCAGACCCACGTTTTGAAGAAGCCAAGCAGCTTATAAGGAGTGGTGCTTTTGGCACCTATGACTATGCTCCCCTCTTGGATTCTCTTGAAGGAAATTCTGGATTTGGTCGTGGTGATTATTTCCTCGTTGGCTATGATTTCCCAAGCTATATTGATGCACAGGCCCAGGTTGATGAAGCCTACAAGTAAGGATAACAAACATGCTATTTGCATTTACTTACTCCATACATTGCAAATTCTTGAACAAACATAACCATGCTCCAACAGGTCTTAATGCTATGGGAAATTTTAATGTACTCTTAGTGCTCTGAATTTGCTATAGTAATCAAAATGTGATCAGTTTGCATTCTTCTGTTGAGGGCCTACTGCTCTGGCTCAGCCTTATCCACGACCCGTAATATGGTTAGCAAATAGCAATCAATTAATATGACAACTCAACCAGTATGTAATTCTGCACAACCTATGTGAGACAACCAAACACAAGAACATTGCGCTCTTATTGCTATCTGTTCTTGCACTGAATGCTTTGATTAAATCCTGTTTCTCTGACAGGGATAAGAAAAAATGGATCAAGATGTCTATACTGAACACAGCTGGAAGTGGCAAATTCAGCAGCGACCGTACTATCGCTCAGTATGCAAAGGAAATATGGGGCATTACTGCTAGCCCTGTCTCCTAAATACGAGATGCACCAAGACGAAGCTCATCAAGATGGACGCTATATTATGCAATAATAAGGATTAGATAACGATCCACGGTGAATAACACTTGCTTCCGTTGTAAGCTGGAGCGCGGAGAACCCAGCAACGAGTGAAGCTGGCACTTTGAAGTGCGCTGGAAAACGCAACCCTCTTTTGCTTTATGCTAATATATATGTATTTGGTCTGGAACAAGGTACTTGTGAGATGTACTGGATGGAATCTTCCGTCACAAAATAAAACGATTCAAATTTTTGGTTATCTTTCTTTGTTACCAAAACATGCTTGTTGCAAAATAGCTTAAGCTTCATTTAGATGGAGCTTAATTTTTTTTAAAGAAGGGTATTTTTGTTGGATATATGCAGCCTTTTTTAAATGGGTTAATTAGATACATACCATTAAAAATTTATCAGTTTTGAAATATACCATCAGTATTCGTGTATTTGGAACCATGCCATTACAATTTTACACATATTCAAGATATGCCACTATCTACCATTTACGAAAAAAATTTAGACCAAATTACCCTTCTTTGCTTCTTTTTCTCCCCTCTCCTTTCTTCCACAGCTCAGAGAACAGGCGGCGGCGGAGCGAGCGGCAGCAGCGGCAGCGTCGGAGCGAGCGGCGAGCGGCAGCGGCGGGCGGCGAGCGGCGGCGGCGGAGCGGTGGCGGCAGCGTGCGGAGCGGCGGCGAGTAACAACGGCAGCAGCGGCGAGCGGCAGCGGCGGCGGAGCGACGGCAGCGGTGAGCGGCAGCGGCGGTGCGGCGGCGGCAGCATGCGGAGCGGCGGCGAGCAGCAGCGGCGTCGAGCAGCAACGGCGCCGCAGCGGCAGCAGCAGCGGCGGTGACGGCGCCGGAGTTGAAGCAGCGGGGAGAGAGAGCTTGAAGATGAGAGAAGGGAGAGAGGTAGAAGATGATGGCATTTTCGTCCAATACATGCAAAATACGTGTCTTAGTGGCACCACTGAAATTATAAACAAATATCAATGGCATCGTTCCAAATACGCAAATAGTAATAGTATATTTCAAAACCGGTGAATTTTTAATGGCATGTATCTAATTAACCCTTTTTAAATTAGGAATTTAGCCTATCAAATAGATGCAACCTTTTTTAATAGGAACTTAGCCTATCAAATAGAAATCTTAGCCCTCAAATAACCCAATCTGAAATTCTATGCAGCCATTTTTAAATTAGGAAGTTAGCCTATCAAATAGGAAACTTAGCCCTCAAATAACCCAATCTGAAATTCCTTTTTTAAATTAGGAACTTAGCCTATCAAATAGGAAACTTAGCCCTTAAATAACCCAATTTAAAATTCGCGATTTAAACTCAGGACCTTGGCGTGTTACTCAGGTCACTTTAACCACCAGGTTACATACCCTTTCAACGGGGCTTAAAATTTTGAGAAACAACTAGTTAGTATCTAGCTTCTACTTAGTATCTAGCTTCTACTTCTTGTTTATTTTTTAGATTTTATAACTACAAAATATAAGAATCTAGGTAAGATCTGAGAAACCTAGCCTCTGACTTAGAATATGTAGGGCCTATTTAGATTGGTGTCATTTTAAATCATACCATTGTTTAATAAAATTGATAAATATATAGCTGCATTTAGTTTGTTATAAAATATTGGTAACGCGCGTAGAAAATTTTAAATTTTATTCCATCCTACCAAAATTTAGTAATTATATCAACTTATCAAAAATTTAGTATCGCTAAATTTTGGTAAGGTTGATTTTAACATTAATCTGAACAGGTACGTACTGTTTTGAGGAGTCGGAGAATCTGAAAGAAGCTGTATCTTATAGAAGTTATCCAAATATAGCCTAAATGCACTTTGCCATTTGGCAACTGTTTATGCTGCTAACAGTTGGTCTTTACTGTTTATGTTGATAAGTCCACCGCCCGTGGGAGTGAGGAAACTCCTCTGATCTCTCGTCGACCCCTCGGCAATATCACTATCACTACTCGCTAGTGAAAGACGAAAGCTGCGGCCTGCGGTAGACCAAAGCTGTGTTAGATTACGACAGGTCGACAGCACTGAAGGTCTGAAGCAACGATCTATTCATGCTTCACGTAGTCGTTTTGACAATTTTTCGCTGGCCCCGGAGACTATTTAAATATCAGTATAGCATACTCCATCCATCCTAAAATATAAATATTTTTAACGTAGTATCAAGTTAAACATTTTAAACTTTAACTATTAATAAAAAATAAAAAAAATCAATCATATAAAATTGATGTTACTAGATTTATTATTAAACAAACTATCATAATAATATGTAACTCTTTTTCTTTAAAACATCTTACTTATATAAATATTATTGATCCAAGCAGCATCTCGAAGATTGTGCCGAGGTTTAAAAATTTTTATATTTTAGAACGGAGCGAGTAATATACAAAGCAAACTAATCACGAAATGTTTGAGTCGTCGTTAAAATAGCATAATATACCGTTGCAGCTTTGCTCATACAAAATAATTGGTAGAACCAGACATAGATGCGGGACAAACAGCCACGATACGGCTCATTTTTATTCCAATCCAACAGAACCACATGCGCATGCCAACAGTATGAATCAAAAGCTGTTTCGAGGTGAAGCACAATGCGCATCACTCCCTGGCCGATACGTATCCATCAGCAATAACAGAGGAATCAGTAGATGTACGGGACGAACGCCTTGCGCGACGCCGGGTACTTGTCGCCGAACTTGCCGACGTACCACCGGCGGTGATCCCTGGCCCTCGGCCCGAGGTTGGAGCAGGTGTAGAGGAAGAAGGCCCAGGCCGCCGGCGTCCACGCCACCAGCGCGTAGCCGAGCCACTCCACGGCCTCGCCGAAGTAGTTGGGGCAGGTGACCACGTCGAACAGCCCGCCGCGGGGAATCTGGTACCCTTTCCCGGCCTCCTTCAGCCTCAGGAGCGCCTTGTCCGCCGCGATGTTGGTCCGCATCCCCCACGCGAAGAGGGCTAGCCCGACGAGGCAGCGGGCGACGGCCGCGGGCGTGGCGGTGGCGGTGGCGGTGCTGTGGGGAGCGGCGGCGTCGAGCGCCCAGGAGCGCGCCTGGACGTAGGCGTTGAGGAGGTTGAAGCCGAAGGCGAAGGCGGCGACGAGGATCGGAACGGGCGCCGGCGCGCGGCGGAGGCGGAGGAGCCGGAGCGGGTGGACGAGCGTGCGGTTCACGTAGTGGAGCGCGTACAGCGCGGCCGGGAGGAGAGCGGCGGCGCGCAGCGCCGACGAGGAGGCGGCGGCGGAGAGGACGAGGGGCGGGAGGCACATGGTGGGGCTCTCCATGAGGAACCACGCGAGCGCCGCCGGCACGGCGGGACCCCACCCGGGGCGGGAGAGCTTCCCGTACGGCGCCGACACGAACCGGAGCAGGAACACGGTGATCGGGCTGATCAGGTACAGGATCACCAGGCATCGCGCGTACAGCGCGTCGTCGCCGCCGCCGCCGCCCATGGCCGTGGCTTCCGTGCGCCGCCGCTCTCGGTGCGTTACCCACGATTCGTGGATGGGAGCGTCCCTGGTGCAGGAGCAGCTACGCCGCGGCCTTCGCGGCTCTGGCTAGAGACGGTGATGATGCTGTGGCATTGGGGCAGATCCGCAGGTGGCTTCTCATCGGTGTTGTATGGAAGGAGTTGATAGAAAACGTGACGGTAATGGCACGGTTTTAATTTTATAAAATACTAGTGGCATGACTATGAATAGACGAATTGTATTGTCATTTTTCTTAATAAGCAAATTTACAATGATCCAATTAACCCTTCTTATTATGTGCATCTACATCTTCTACATGAAAGGAGAACAAAGGGCGTAATTATATCATCATAGTTGCTGACTAAACCTGTACCAAGACCTGGACGATAAAAACAGCACCAGGAGAACTATCTGAAGTCATTAACCCGCAGGATAATAAATAAAACAACACGATGAGAACTATTTCCTCCGTTCTTTAAAAAAAAAACTTAAGACTCGATGTAACATATCCTACTAAATTTAGATAGATCTTTTCAGATACGTTCTAGTATAAACTGGAGTATGATATATTCAATTCTAAGTTTGTTTTTTTAAGGACGGAGGGAAGGGAGTATCTGACTACTACAACATATTACTAAAAATTGAAGTTGAACCATTCATAACCAATATTGACTAATAACTGATTAAATGTCTTGTCAATTACTGTGCACAATCCTTTGGTCAAAGCATCTGCAGAAACAGATAACCAACCTGATTCAGAGGTGGTCTGCACTCTGCAGCAAGCACCAGGTGAAGCGGACAAATCTAGCTCGGCGAATTAAGAATACAAGCAAACCAAACAAAGAATCCTATTACAAGAATCTCTACATTCAATCAAATACTACTCCCCTTAGTCCTAAAATATAAAAATCTAAAACCAAATAAGATATTTTATAATATTATGAATCTGGACATACAACATTATTCCCGGCCGTTGTTGGACTCGTTAACGTAACATGTAGTCCATATGACCATTGACGAACACAATGCCATGTGCCCCTTCTCAATCCGGTGTCATAATCAGCGGCAAATAGGAGCCCCGTCGTGGTTACCGGTGCAGAAATGGTGGGAAAGAACTGGGTGGGGAGGACAACAGCTTGGTGCAAACAAAATGGCATCAACGACTGTCCACAAATCAACTGCAATCTATAGACATTGCAAACGAAGAGGGAACAAAGGAGAACATGCAAATCAAGAAGGTGTAGAGAAATGGGCAACGACGAGTATGGATTAGGAAAGAGGTAGGGACTTTCATGGGGCAGCGAGGATAAAGAGGCATAGGCAAATGCATATAGAAATAGGAATGAAACGGTGCAACATATATTCAAAATGATTCTCAGCCGGTTGGGAATAGAGCATATTCATCAATTTAACTATTCAGTGTCAATACCAAAACAACGCTAAACAAATTAGGAAAATCAAAATTTATATAGTACTATAATAAAAAAATGGTTAGAAATGGTACACTTATATGAAAATGACACTTGCTTAGTTAGGACCTTCCGTGGCCGTTTTCATTCCTTTCTCGAAAGAAGATGGACGGTGAAGATGCGGCACATGACATCGATCGTAGTTGTTAACAGTGGATTACTAAAACTAAACTAAAGATTTAATACGATATGATAAAATTATATCTTTCCTTATCACTGGATATTTGTTTTGATACTTTGATGTCTAAAACTCTGATCATCACGCCTCAGCATAACAAATCCACAATCCATCTATATTTTTTTTTTGTTATACTTCTGTAAATAACGTTTTCTTTTCTACACGACGAACAAGAGATGTGTCGTGACAGGGAAAAAAAGAAAAGGATTAGTTTACGATACATCACTGATAAAGTGATAAAGGAGCACAGAAAGAAAAAGGCAACTGATGGCATCGCGTTGCATGATCTGGTTTAATCGTTATTAATGTGCCCCGACTCCTCAGCGGTGCAGGCCGTGTAGCCATGTGAGACCACCTCTGTTAGCGTGAGCTCATGATCACTTTGATCACACTATCCACTTGACTGTTCTCAAGTTCATATGACCATAGCACCATACGCACTTGTCCGATTCGTTGTCCGAGTCGATGGCTCCAAAACTTCGTTCACAACTCGCAAAGAAGAAACAACAATGCTCATCCGAGATATACTAGCTCTGCTCACTGCTCAGCAACGTGGAGATAAAGTTGGTCAGGATTTTTAATCGTTTGGGGAAGGATAATCTCGGAAAGATTTGGTCCAGCATGCAAGGAGAAGTGTACTAACACGACTTCTCTCTTTTTCTTTTCTTTACTATTATAAAAATTGAAAATATTTTTGCCAATAAATTTAGTACGTCATCCTTTTGGTTTGCATCGTGAGTCCGTATCAATTTACCCCCTAACACATCAGATCGTTGATCCATGCCGCAATGATCGGATTTGTTTTTTTTTTAACAGCGAAACAGAGAGCAAGCCCGCGCAAACAATCTCGTGTGCGATTCACCCACGCTTTCTTTTTGTCATATAAAAAATCTCTTTAAAAACACTTGCATGCTAATTTATGAATTTTGGACTCCTAATTGCAGCTCAATATTTTCTAGAAAAAAATATCCAAGCAAATTCCCACAGTGAATTTCACCCTAGCCAAACCGTATAACAATAATAAGATTAAAATAGTATTCACCCATTGCAACGCACGAACATCTTTTCTAGTAACATCACAACTAAATAAGTTGGAAAACGCCGGGATCGGGAGCCCGACACGCGTAAGAAAAATCGGGCGCCCCCCACGTGTCCCCACCACTCTCTTCCTGTTACAACAAATCCTTCACATATTACGGAAATGCTCTATTAAGAAAATCCGTTTTATTTTTTTCCGCCAACAATGTTTTAACTAGTGTACTCATGATATTTCACTATGTATGTATAAAATGTTGCAGTGAATTGAAATATTTTTTTGCAACAAATCACCCACATATTATGGAAAACCTCTATTAAGGGAATCCGTTCCTTTTTTTTTCCACCAAAAATATTTCACCCAGTATACTCATAATGTTTCACTATGTATAGATCAAATGTTGCAGTGAATATAAACATTTTTTCGCTATTTGCTGAAACATTATTTTTATATAGGGTGAAACATCACTCGATTTTTTTTTTGAAAACCGTTGTTTCATACGTTGTAGCAAAATGTTTCATGAGGTGATTTGGTTGTGTTTCAGCTTTCCAAAATTTTTATCTATTTAGTGAAACATGTTCGATCTACTTGGTGAAACATCGTCCGATTTTTGAAAAAAAAATCGAACGCCTGATTTGTAGACGCCTCGAAATAAATTTTATCATTGATATATGCATCCATGCTCATCTGTCACATCAGTCGCCGATTCAGGATTTTGCTATTAAGGGTGCGGAATTAAGTGATGAAATTATACTTAACTATCAGAACAATCCAGCAAACACACTAAAATAGTTCAATGATATAACTGATGCTAAAATTTAAATGGAGGAAATTAGAAATTTCTTTTGCAAATTTACAACAAAAGTAAAAAAAAAAGAGATAATATCCACACTTTTGGGCGATGGTGTGGCATTGTGTCTAGTGATGTGGTAGCACTACACCTTAATGTGGCACACAAATCAGGAAAAGAAACAATAAGCTTGACCTATTAAGCTCTTGTATAGAGAGGTGAGGAGCCGAGGAAAATGACGAACAGAATAACCTATGATAGAAAAACCTACAGTATAAGAAAAAGGAGAAGAAATGTATGTGTGGTAGTCTTTTTATTGTTTATTGGTCGTACGAAGGCCGGGGATATAAGCATATCGAATTTATGAAAAATAAACAACAGTAGCTACGTACCTTCAATTTTATATATAAACCACAATTGTCTTTTGAATACGACGTTTACCTATTCATCTTTTTTAAACAGTTATAGTTATGTATGTTTTATTCCATTGTGATTTATCTTATTATTTAATAAGTACTTTAATCATATTTTGTATGCTTACATTAATTTATTGAATAGAATGAATAGCCAAACATCATACCCAGAAAACAACAACATCATCATATATTTAACAATAGAGGGAGTATATATAAGTTTTATAACACTATTATTTATATTATATATTTATATGTGTACAAGGAACATATTTTATATACATAAGCTTCCCGTACACAATCCGTGCACGCAAGCTAGCAAATGTCATAAAATTATAAAAAAATTAGACCCATATATTCCAATAGTATTGTAGCTACATGCGAAATTTTATCTTCAAATTTATTATATTTTAGTCGTAAAAAAGATAAAATATTCTTATATTTTATATCTTATGTAGCGTAGCCTACTTTTCGAGCTTTCGAGTTCGGTGCGGGGGCATGAGATGCGCCAATGCGCCATGCTCCGATGCTCGATGGCGACGGCCGCGGACCACACGGATAGTGCGCAGTCGCACACTGCATCACAAGTCCATAGTTTAGGTTATCATCATTCATCAACCCACTTCAGTTTATTTTTCATTAGAGGAATCAATCCACCAATTGGAGAAAGAGTGTTGCACCAGGCATCCAGGACAAAGACACAGAGAAATTTGTTGGATCTTTATTTGTTCTCTCTAATGTTTGGGCCAAACTGGCCCATATAGTACGATGGGCCACGCTTGCCAGGCTAGACTTCTGGAACCAATAAACCACAAGGCAGTGTTTGGCAAATGTCTAATGGAAATGATTTTCCACCCCTCTTTAAATCTTAACCATTCATTCTCCCTCATCCATTTAATCCTAACCCTTTATTCATTTCCCAATCTCAATCCTACCTCTCATTTCCCATTATCCAAACACATCATTGGTGTAGCTATATAATTTTCCACATAAAATTAAGAGAAAAACTTTCAAATATAAATATATAATTATAGTGTAATTATATTGGAGTTACTTGCATCGTAACTCCTATGTCAATATTGTGCAACTTGGACTCGAGATTAGAAATAGGTGTTAGTGCACAGTGGCATATCTGGGATTTTTATATGGGTGATCGAACCTATACTTTTTTAGAAATACCCTAAATATAACAAAGCTATAAGTATAAATTGATCAAATATGCATAACAATATATTAATAAGGGAGTTAGTATTTTTTTTACTTTTTCTAATTTTTTAAATATATGTGTATATATGTATTAGGTTAGGATTTTTTTTCCGGTGGTCCTTGGATCCGCTTGTGTTACTGTACCTCAATTAGAGGGATGAGCTTGTGCTCGTTTTCTTCACCAGTGGTAGTGATTTTTTTTCCATCTTTCAGAGTAAATCTAACAGTCTAAAACTTAAATATTTTCCCCAAAAAATCCGTCGAAAGAAAAATAGCAATTTCGTACACGAAAACATATAGCTACTGTTTCTTAAATTAAATCTATTTATAGTATAGCAATCTACTGTTGCAAGGAAATGTGCCTAATACAAACAAAATGACAGCTCAATCAACACGCACCAAACTGAAACGGCCCACGACTTATATTGAGAGGAAGGACATCTATGGGCTAGGCCCACGACATTATTTTTCAACTTCTCAGGGAGAAAAAGAAAAGAAAGCGAAGAAATAGACTACACTCCTACTGTCCTACATACAGTATACGGACTACCAATGTGGAGAGAGCTGTAAACATCTGGTGGAGCCACGCACCCGATGCCTTTTCCTTTTCTTTCACGGTGACGTCGCACTCTAAATAGATCGAAATACTAACCTTGGCATATTTCACTCATGAATCAAATACATATGGAGCATAGACTATAGAGGCTTTGTTTGTTTGGGGTGTGTTTTTGTCTAGAGGTAAAGTTTTTAAAGTATACAGATACAGATTTGAAGTATTAAACGTAGACTAATAATAAAATAAATTATAGATTTTGCCTGTAAACTGCGAAACGAATTTATTGAGTCTAATTAATCCATCATTAGTAAATATTTATTATAGCATCATATTATTAAATTATGGCGTAATTAGGCTAAAAAAATTTGTCTCGCAATTTACATGCAAACTGTAAACTGTGTAATTGTTTTTTCCCACGTTTAATGTTTAATGTATGTGTCAAACATTTGATTTGATGTTTTTGTTCAAATTATTTTATCTAAACCAGCCTTGGTGCATCGAGATATCAATTTCATTTTTGGGGGCAAATTCCACGTGGTAGACGGTTGAGAGGATCGCGGTCGACGTGGCGACGCCTTTTTGATGGTTTTTTTTTTCCCCGCAGGAGAATCTGCGTCGCGCACTGACCCGTACAGCACTCAACTCTCTCTCTAACCTTTCCCCCATCGGATCGGTTGGTTGGTCGAATCTACCTCGCTACACAGTGGTAGGGGTAGAGGGAGGGTAGAAGAGAAGAGGGGGGAATCGCCGGAGGGTTCGAGAAGATTCTAGAGGGATGGAGGAGGCGGCGGCGGCGAGCAACGGGGGGCTGCTGTACCACGAGGTGCAGGAGGGGAAGCTCTGCGCCGTGCACTGCGTGAACACCACCCTGCAGGGGCCCTTCTTCTCCGAGTTCGACCTCTCCGCGCTCGCCGTCGACCTCGACCAGCGGGAGCGCCAGGTCATGTCCGAGGGCGCGGCCGGCGCCGCCACCACCGCCGCGGGGGACTTCCTCGCCGAGGGTGAGGGCTCCCACAACGTCTCCCTTGGAGGAGACTTCAGCATCCAGGTTGGCTTGCCCCGTCTATGGCCCTCCGCCATCCACGCTCGTGGGGGGTTTATTTATTTCTTTTCGCTTGTCTTCTGTCGTCCTGGTTAGTGAGATTGTTGCCGAGATGAACTTAGGTTGCCTGTAGGCCTGTAAGCTTCGAATTTAGCAAGATTGTTGTCGAAATGAACTTGGTTGCCTGTAGGCCTATAACCTCGAAGTTAGTGAGATTGTTGTCGAAATGAGTTTGGTTGTCTGTAGGCTTGTAGGTTCGAATTTTGGGGGGTTTGCTTGACGTATCATGTTGTTGATGGTACATTCTAGTTTAAGATTCTCAGATGGCTTCCGGAATTCCAAATAATAAATGATTTATAGCATAGTGGTCAATATGTTATCATGTTGAGGATGGTGAAGGAATGTTTATTTGTCTGAGACAGGAACTTGCCCACACTATTGTTCTCAAATGCAGATAAAATCATATAATTTTTATTGAAACCTTTCTATATGGTTAGGTAATATGAAGGGTTTATATTTATCCTAGACATCAGCATTTGCATGATTCCTTTTTGTAGTCACAACTTTGCTAGTTAGGAATATGTTCATAGGTTTTTGTTGCAGCAGTGTAAGTACTATGTGGTGATGATGACAGGAGATTGCATATTGCTGTATAGTTTCTTCTTGAGAAGTTACAGAAATTCTATGTGACTACATCTGTTTACTCCCATAGTTGCACGTTCATTTAAATTAACAACATGTGGGAAATAGTTGGGTGAGAGGGCTTTTTGTAAACGTCGACAAGAGTTCTCTTGGCAGGTTGCAGTTTTTCATGTTACGTACTTCACTACTTGCCATGCAAAGATACAAGTAAGTGCGTGCATGCATGCATGCATATATAATTATTAATTCTTCTGCGATTATTCCGACCAAATTTATGTTCGTGGTGTGCGCCATAAAGCTTTTACTTGTTTTGTTGCTTTGAGCTTTGTCGTGTACTGAATTGTGACATTAAGGAGAAATTTATGTTCTAGCTGTCTAGGTGTTATCTCTTACCTGTTTTAGGAAAAACAGCATAAGAGGTTTTTGAAAACCTGTTTGGTGTTTATGGGAATTTTAATTTTACATTAAGAACATCAACGGTGTTGACATGGACATTAAGGTTTGTATTATACTTTTAGTAACAATAGAAAAGAACAAAAATCTGAAGTTTGCGCTGAGTCCATTCCACTTATGGGCAAACCGCAGTAAAGCTCTGTCATCTGGGGTCTAACGTACAAGCAGAGGGGGTGATGGCAAGGAGCAGTCCAGGATGCGGCAGGCCCAGGCCCAAGTTATTCTCTGAGACCATATCCTTCTCTGGCTGAGATAAGCCCTTATTCTAAATTAGTTATGGTTAGAATAGTCAGTTTATTTTAGGATTTGGTAAGAGTTGGTTTGAGTTAGTTTTCGACTCAGATTGAGTTAATAGTTTGATTTGGAAACTATTGTTAGGGGTGGCTTTATAATCAAGCTCACGGCAATTGTTTAGCGGAAAATGCAATTAATTCTTTTCTCTAGCCGTTTCTAATGTCCTTGCCTCCCTGATGCAGTGCTGATCATGGCAATCAAACACCACCCTTGAGGTCCAGGGCCATGACCTATCACCTCTCACGATTATGATCTTCAACATATTTGACCCACTAACATACCTGCCCATGACAAGCTCGCAGTAGTTGAGTTTGTCATTAAAGCTTGTGGCTTGCCAGTTCTATCATTGTGGTAGACTGGTGTCCTAGATATGCCTATATTTACATTATCAATTGCCAAGAATATAATAGATCCTCAAATGCAAGTACAACTACTGGTTAATGTTTTGCCACCTTTTTTTATTAAAATTTGAAGGTATCAATTTTACAGTTTGCGGTAGAAAAAGATTTAGCGAATTCAGGACTTCGCTGTTAGCAATGATTAGCGAGCCCAAAAATATGGTGAAAATGTTGTCCATCTATGTTTTCTCAGTCCATGCACTATTGTTTATTGTTTTTGCACATATGCTGCCGATATTTGGATGTTCTGTATCCCTAGTTATCCTTGATGCATGTCTCTGTCAAATGTGGCCAATACCAATTTGCTGTAAATAACATTAACCATGTTTGATATGTTACCTTTTAAATTTGGGGTATGCAAGTTTTGCAACTCTTGTCCCTTGGGATCCATGGGAGAAGAATAAATTGTGCCTGTTCCCACTGCCCACTGTAAATAGTGTAACATGTTTACTCTGCTCTGGCAGCATTGCATATTTCGGAATTGTTACATCATGTAAATTCTCTTGCCATACTAGTGACAGATTTATTTCCATGTGCCTTTGGTATACATGAGCTGATATGTCTCTTTCATTCAACTTATTCAGGTGATTCTTTATGTAATAGTTAAAACTTAAAACCTTGTCACTGAATGGTTAACTAGAACTAAATGATAGTCTTAGATCTATTTAGTTAGAGAGAACATTCTGAATTCATATTTTTCTGGTAAAGTACATTTAGTTTTTTATTCCTTCATATCGGTCATTAATCATTATCTATGGCATTTAAGACCATATTTCATTAGGAGTAGTTTTTCTATGTGGAGGAGCATTTTTGCCTGTAACCTGAATCTTGATTCCCTAGGGTACTTTTTGTCTGCATTTCTGAAGGAAAATCTCCATATGGTCTATGGCTTTTATATCCCTGTGTGTAGTTCATGTTCTTCATGGGCTATGAAATTCCTTAGAAATTGTAATGTCTTAGATAAGTGTTAAGTGGTTTTGATGCTTGGAGCAGTAAATACCCTATTCCTTATTATGGCAGCGCGATGTCTTTTACGCATAGTTACTCAAGCTAATATATTGTTACAACTCATTTCCAGTGACTACGCTGCAAGTTCATACACTCAACTATGCTTTTCATCTTACTCTATAGGTTCTGCAGAAGGCACTTGAAGTTTGGGATCTGCAAGTTATCCCCCTTGACTCCCCAGATGTGGGGTCATGCCTATTTGACCCTGAGCTGGAAACTGCTTTCATTTGCCATCTGCAGGACCACTGGTTCTGCATTAGGAAGGTAAATGGAGAGTGGTACAACTTCAATAGTCTGTACCCTGCTCCTGAGCATCTATCAAAGTTTTACCTATCAGCTTTCATCGACACCCTGAAGGGGTCAGGCTGGAGTATCTTTGCAGTGAGGGGCAATTTTCCTAAGGAGTGTCCCATGGCAACGGAAGGCTCTAATGGTTTCGGGCAGTGGCTGACTCCTGATGATGCCCGGAGGATAACCTCCTCTTGTAACCAGGTCCAAACACCTACTCAGCAGGCAGGCGTCTCTCTAGTTGCTGATCAATCAGAGGAAATGAGTGAAATGGATATGATTGCTGCACAGCAGGAAGAAGCTGACTTAAATGCTGCTATAGCTGCTAGCCTGATGGACACTGGGGGTCCATTTGCTAATTATGCAGCTCACGAAGAAAGCAGGTCTCAGGATGCTTTTGCAATTGAATCAACATCAGGTGAAATGAGCAAAGACGGCAATCTGGAGGAGCAAGGGGCTAACAAGTCTGAAACAAGCGAGCCTAACAGCGATAATATTGAGTCTGCTTCAGGCAGTAACCCGAAGCAGAACACTACCTCTTTAGAGGGAAAAGAATCTATAAAAGAAGATTAGGACGGCATGATTCGGGATGGAACTGTATTAGAATATACAGACAACAAAAAGAAAAAAGAAAAAGAGGGGATGCATTTCAACTGCTCTCCATTTGACTGGGGGAGTGATGCTATTGTGAACTTCTTTCTGATCTGTGAATGCCGTATACAAATCGTCTGAACTGCCCTGCTTAAAAACTTGACTTTTGTAGCATTATGTTTAAACTGCATAGAGACTAGAATGGAGGCTTTGTCTCGTTCTTTTCCATCTCAACTTTCGCATATACACCTTTTCCTTTTACAGCTGCAGCAACTATGATCTTGAATCTGTTGTATCTTTTCTGTTATCGTCTGCAGTATGGTATAGTAGCAGCTCAAAACTCAGGCATGTTTAGTATGTTTCATGCAAGTATGAATGCATTTTTGTTTGAGAAATATGTAGTTGTGGATCAAAACATGGCCTCGTTTGTGAGATATGACAAGGATCAACGGAGAAGACAGACATTATCGGCCAATGTCATCCTTCACAAGCAAAATCAGGTTTGTTTTGTTTAACCTGGTGTTGGTGTTCCGCTTGGGAAATGATGTGGCATTATTTCAATTTTCAAACGTGTATTTTTTCTTAGAAAATTTCTTGAAAACCTATGCACATTTTATAGATTGCTTTCCAATGTTTTCATCTACTAGGAAGTTTTCACTGTATTTAGCACACTTCGATTGTGCCTCTTCTAATCGAAGTCTCATCAAACGGTCGGATACCACATAATTTCTAGGAATAGTCTATTTGATATGTGACCGAATAGATTTCAGCCAAGGATTGCATCAAGATTCGTGCATAAACAGTGACCTTATCCTCTCTCCTGTTCCTCTTCTCTCCGGCATAGCAAAGGGGTGAGCTCGCTAGCGGCCCCCCTCGCCTCGTGGGCACCTAAAGGCATGAACGGTTTTAGCCGCCCACCACCCTTCTCCATCACCATGACTTTGGCGGTAGCGTCGCCCCTCCACCCGTGTCCACCATATATCGTCAGTCCTAAATCATCCATGGTCATCCCTCTATACCTCGGGGAAGAGAAACCCTCTTTTCCCCCTCTCCTATCGACCTCACACCCTATACCCTAACTGATCAAGGCCGCTGCTGTCCCGTCTGAGTTGCGGCTCGCTGAAGATAGAAGACAAGGAGGCCGACATAAATCTTCGCACAAATTCAAGGTCCCACTTTTAACAGAAATCCGCTCCAAATTTCAGTTTCATGAAGGTTAGCAATTGTTATTTCTAGGTAATACGATTAGGATCTTTTCTAAATTTATCAATTTAACTATCTAATGGTTACTTCAGTCTGACGCTGATAAAAAATTATATAACGATAAAAACAGCATTTCTTTTAAGGAACAATACTGCTGTGCAGGAATTTCCGTCATCCTAGCGGTGTTCGGTGAGAACTTGAGATTGATATACGAAAATACTATGCATGCTACTTCTATGTAAATACTAGTACAATTCTTAACTGATCACTGATGGTGAACGTCATATATTGTATCGCTACAAATCAGTTGAAAAAGGCTATGGGCTTTCGCTGGAAAACGTTAGTCATAGTATTGTATGTGAACAATCGTACTTATAGCAACTACTCCCTCTGTCCCACAAAATGTCCAACTCTAGCTTCACAAGGTAGATACAAGGAAAGAGATAAAGGATCAAAATGCCCCTAATAAATAGGAAAGTTATATTACTGAATAGTTAAGTAAGGGGTTTTGAAGAGATAAAAATTTTTAATTTGCGGACCAATGGTAGTTAGGTAGAAGTTGATTTATTTTGAGATAAATTTTAAATCTTAAAACTGGTTTATTTTGAAACGCAGAGATTATGGTATAAGATGGTGTGTTGTTGCTGCAGCTACACCAACAGTCTAGGCTGCTGTAGCGCCACAGCCAAGGGAAGTAGGGAACGGAAAGACCCCCCAAAGTTCAATAGGACACGGTGCTGATGACGTGGCGTGGCGGTGCCCCACGCTTGCGCCTTTTTCTCCTTGGCCTTTTTCATACTTTTCTTTTTCTTTTTCTTCGTCACCCAGCAATTTCCAAACTAAAGCTCGAGGAGTTGGAGTATGCGGGGGATTCAGCAGATACCACTTCTGCATCACGCCGCTGTTCTTGCCGTGCGCTTTTCTCCCCTTTCCACCAGCTGAACTCCCGATCGGTCTCCCCCGATCAGAGAGATCCATTCATCCACCCAGCAAGGCAATGGATGCCTCTGACCAAGGTTGCCGGCTGCTCGGCGCCCAGAGATCGCTGCACGGCCTCCTCGGCGGCGGCGCCAGTGAGCTAAGCTCAGTTATCTTCTTCAGTTCGCCCGCCGTAGATCGCCTCCCCTGCGGGCTGTGGTTGCGCGGCTTCGTTTGCATTTTGCGTTTTGTGATGTGGTGGGTTTTGTGGGCGCCGCAGTGGCGGATGTGGTGCTGTGGAGGAGGAAGGAGGTGGCCGGCTGGTCGCTGGCGGCGGTGGCGGCGTCCTGGGTCCTCTTCTATTGCTTGCCTGGCTACACGCTGCTCTCCTTCGTGTCCAGCGTGCTCATGATCGTGCTCGTCGTCCTCTTCGTCTGGGCCAAGGCCGCGCGGCTGCTCAACAGGTGGATTTTTTTTGTTTGCAGTTTATTTGCAGTAATGTGATTTATTTGCCTCCAAATTGTTGATGCACTAGTGTGATTTAGTTCAGATTATTATTGTACAAATTGCTGAATTCGACTTAGCCCTTAGATGACTTGCTTTTGTTGTTAGTTGTTACACTTGCTATTGATACAAGGAGTGGATATCATTTGTTTGGCCTTGGCCCTTGGATTGATTAAGCTTTGACATTTAATACTTGTGAGTGTGAATGTACTGGTAGTCGGTGGATAAATGATCATGGTGTAAAAACTAATGTGGATGATATAAATTGGAAGAGAGTGAGCAGCAATGCAGCAAATTATCTTGCTCGATCAATGCCCTGATATGTTCATCATAGCTAATGCCATTGCATCAGAACGAAAGCGGCCCATCCAATTATAAACTACAGCTGCTCCGACTGATGCTTTGATTGATGCTCAAAACTGAACAATGGAAACAAGCGATATGAAAATTCCACGTTTAAGTGCAGGAGGATCTAATCCATGACTTTCTAGTTGCTGAATGCTGACTCTAAAGGCATACAAAAATTCGATGCAGGCCACCTCCACCTGTTCCACTGATCAAAATATCTGAAGACTCAATGAGCAAAGCAGCAGCTGCAGTGGGTAACATCCTACATAAGGCACTACAGGGTTTTGAAAACATTGCACACGGAAAGGACTCCAGTCTCTTTTACAAGATGGTTTCAGTATTACTGCTGATCTCCATAGTTGGCCGTGTGACTGATCTCATTACTTTGGTATATGCATGTAAGTTCTTTTACTGTTTCTCAATTCTAACTAATTATCACTACTCACCTATTGTTGTTAAGAACTTTATAGTAGGATGTAATGTGCAATGCAGTGATGATATGCACTTTCATTAGTTTTCTGAGAATTGTGTCAAAACTTGAAACTTACAGCAAAAAGACTCCTGTAGAAATATCATGCAGAACATATAGAAATAAATGTTATGTTGAAATTTATTGGTCTGTGTCATATTCATGTCTAGTTAAAACCACCCTGAGTAATTACATTTAATAACAGTCCGAAATTATTTGTGAGCTATTACTTAATAGGTGAAAATTATTCATTTCCAAAAGTTGGTCTCAAAGATAGGGACATTGACTTGGCAAAGGGGATCTCTGTTATCTGCCTAGTTAACAGTAGCATTATGTGCAGCCAATTTAGTACAAAAATTTGGGAGAAGTCAAGGAACTCTTCTGAAATTTGTGGTGGAGCCATTCCAATCAGTATAGAATATCATATATTTTTAAAGGAGGCACAATAACAAATGTGATGTATTGATCTTTAGTATCATCTTACTGATCAATGCTGACTTTGCTGAACTTTCTATCTCCCAGGCCTTGTTCTTGCTCTCACCATCCCTGCATTGGTGGATAAATATGAAGAAAACATTGCCAAGTTCTTAAATCAAGCGTCAGCAAATATTCAGGCATGTGGACAAGCATGGAAAGCATATAAATCTAAGATTAAGAACTGATCTTGGAAAACAATAAACTGTTTTGATCTCATTGTACAGTTGTCAACAAAATTTTGCCTTGTATACTTGTCTTCCTAGAGTTAAACATGTTGACATCCGTCTTACTGCTCTGTCTGACTGTCTATATACTTCAGTCTTAGCACTGCAATGTTCTGCGCTTCGGTTGTGTTTTCAGTTATCTATACGTTCTTGTGCTATGTTTAAAAGAGAAACATAATCCTTCAGCCCAACAGCTTGGTTTCTGATTGGCAGTTTGGCACTGAATTCTCATTGACCATAGCCGGGTACAAAGTAACTAGACAAAGAGGTTGGTTACTGAAAACGAAAGAGCTTGACCGTATTTTCCTTAAGCCGAAGATCATTCCTTGACTGGATTCAATCCTGACTAGGAAAGTAGGAAGCAGAGCGCAACTACAGATCAGCGTCACCGGTCACTCGTTATTCGTTTCGCCGGAGGAGGAGGAATCGCCATGATTCTCGAGCACGGTGACGCAGAAGCCTAGCGCTGGGAGAAGGCGGGGACCTTGAGCATGAACGACCTGTAGTATCTATGATGATGCCGTAGTGGGATACTGGGATTGCGCGATCACGGCACGTCAGGTGTTCGATAGATTGCCTTAAATCTCGATGACCAAGCGCGCAGGCGCAGCGTGCGCATACAGACACTCATTCACTCACTGTCGCACGAACGCCAAGACCCCAAGACGGGAGAAGGACGCGAGGGAAACCGGGTTGTCTCATATACGACTTTGCTTGTTATCGCGAGCAATTCGAACTTCGGGAAGTAAATTTGCCAAACATCCATTCGTCTTTTATCTGCTGGATGTATGTGTTTGGGCCTCCTGCTCGGGAGAATTTTCAGAATATGCGATCGAATTCGCACTACTTTCAGGATATGCCACCCAATTCGTGCTACTTTCAGAATACGCCATCGGAGTACGAATTTCCTTCGTTCCGTGCCACTCCGTCTCTTCCGTCCGAAGCGCCGTCGTCTTCTCCGCCCGGCGCCGCCGTCGTCAGTCCGCCACCGCCCGCGCCGGCGTCCGTCTGTCGCCAGCATCGTCCATCCTTGTCGGCGTCCATCGTCATCGTCGTCGTCGTCCACGGCGTGGCGTGGGCGCGGAGGGAGGCGAGCGCGACGCGAGGGCTAGCAGCGGGGCGAGTGTGGCCGCGAGTGCTAGCAGCGGCTGCGGTGGCAGGGAAGGGGTGGGGGAGAAGCCCATTGTAGATGGGGGATGGGTAGCGGGCGGGCGGCGTCCGTGGTGGTGGTGGTGGTGGTGGGGAGGAAGATGAGGAGGACGAGGACAGGGCACCCTCGCCGGCGTGCTCCAGCCGGAGGACGCGCTGCGCGAGTGATGGAGGATGACGATAGCGGCGACGGCGAACGGACGACGCTGTGGCTGACACGGGCGCGGGCGATGGACGACAATGATGGCGGCGACAGCGAACGGACGGCGCCGCCGCTGACATGGGCGCAAGCGCGGGCGATGGACGACGATGATATTGGTGACGGAGGACGGACACTGGCGCGGCTAACACCGGCGTCGGCGCCGGCGGTGGCGGACTCCCTCTCTCCGCGGCCACGCCACGCCGTAGACGATGACGATGGACGCCGACAAGGATGGACGATGCCGGCGACGGACGGACGCCGGCGCGGGCGGTGGCGGACTGACGGCGGCGGCACCGGACGGAGAAGACGACGGCGCTACGGACGGAAGAAACGGAGTGGCACGGAACGAAGGAAATTCGCGCTTTGATGGTGTATTTTGAAAATAGCACGAATTAGGTGGCATATCTTGAAAGTAGTGTGAATTAGATGGCATATTGTGAAAGTTAAAGCGCAGGGCAACGCAGTGAAGAGCCCTGGGCTCCTGGCCCTGTGACCTGCCTACCTACCAGCCGCCGGCGGCCTACCGATTGCCCCTCTCGTCGCGTGACCGTGAGCGTGACCGACGGGCCAAACCCCCAGTCCGTCACTTAGCCTCGGCGCGAAACACGCCACCGGATCGATCGGCGCACGCGGGGCTTGCCGGCTGCACGCGGTGCCCGCGCACCCGTGGCGCGGCGCAGTAGCGTGATGTGGCTCTGCCAACCAACCGTCAGTCCGCGTCATCTCCTGCCAGGCCGCCCGGTCACGAGTGGCTTTCCCGCGGCCGAGACATTACATAGCTTTTGGATCTCACGTCCGATCCGGTGGCGGACGAGAGCAGAGAGCCAGACCCCCACGCACGCGGCGCGGGTGCAGGTCAATGCAGGTCATCGTACTTTTCGTTCGTTCGGTCACGGGATGGATGCTGCTCGGCGCTGCCAACAATATGTTCAACCGGGTGGAATTTGGTGTTTACTCGCCTGATGGGGACACGAGCGGAAACTTGACGCGTGTCGCACGTACGAGTTAGACTCAAACCGACAATAACAAGGTTTGACGCGGGGAACGAGCCTCTCTTCTCCCGTTGGATCGGTGGTCGCAACAGCGCAAATTTTCATCCACGGCGGATTGGTTTGTGTGGTGCAGGTGCGACCGGCATCTCCGCTTCCTGGACAAAAAAATGAGCGTCTATCAAATTGTAACGATGTGCGTGTCCTCCTTTCTTGGACTAAGTCATGAATACCGACCGATCTTCTCTTGAAAAATGATCGCGTTTTCATCCTTCGGTGCCAAATGACAAACCACAAGTTAGTTCCGGAGGACCCAAGTCAGACGGAATACCAAGCAAGCTTGCTTTCTGCGGCTTAATTAATTTGGTTACTCGGTGACAGGAGATGATGCTGTATGGGCCCCTAACGTCTCTAGCGGTCTAGGCGCCTAATGCAACAAGGACGGATCGAGAGCGACGCCTACCCGACTAGACCCAACGCGGCGGCCAACAATCGTGTCCGTCTGGTGGATTCCCACTTCAGATACATATTGGCGTCCATCATTCCATTGGGCGACCTGCATGCCCAGGCCAAGAATTGGGATCCGCTTAACAATTGCACGTAACTTCGACCGTCCATTTTATTCAGGCTTTGTTTAGTTTTAAGTTTTTTCTTCAAACTTTTAACTTTTCCATCACATCAAAATTTTTCTACCCACATAAGCTTTCAACTTTTCCATCACATCGTTTCAATTTCAACCAAACTTCTAATTTTAGCATAAACTAAACACACCCTCAGGTCTAAAGCTATAGTACCCATGTGAACAGTGACCCGTGCTACAATATTACTGCTACAGTGCTGTGAACAGTGCATTGTGTGATCTGAGCCGTCCAGGGTGTATCCAATGATGTGTACTGCTACTGCTTATTTTGCACTTGACTGCACCTGATCCAAATCCCCAGGCCAATCAAACACAAGAGAATATCCTACATCTCTTCATACTGACAAAGTGACAATTAATCCAGCACACCGTTTTATAAGTCAATCTCCCGTGTGAGCTCGTGTTAATGTTGATAAAATATACTCCATCTGTTCTAGAATATAAGAAGTTTTAGAGGTAGACACGGTTATTAAGAAAGTAGGTAAAATTATATATGAAGAGTTTGTGATTGGTTGAGAAGCGGAGGTAGATGAGAAAAGTGAGGGTTGGAGGGCTGTAATTGGTTGGGAAGGGAATGTTGATGAAGAAGTTGTTATATTTTAAGACAAATATTGAGTACTAAAAGTGGTTATATTTTAATATAGAGGGAGTAGATACACACGTTGTAACAAGCCTACAAGACATGCCTATTAGCTAGTCACTTTTCTGAAGTTCCCCGGTCACTACGGCATTTCTTTTGTCCATTTCGACGGGTGAGACTGAGAATCAATGGGCAAATTAGAGAAATTCCTCACGACTAAGAGGGCAGAGGCTACGAAGACGTAGCATTCATAGCGCACGCGTGTAGCCGTAAGCCTGTCCTGCTTGCGAGCCACTGCATCAGGCTGATAATAACTTCTCAACATGTTTCTTTGAATGACTCGCACGAAACGATACGAAATTCTATTAATAAAGTAGGAAAAAATTATAATATTATAATTCTGGAGGGTCATAACCAGTAAAAAATGAAAAAATATACCGTCACCCGTACACCGACAACACCAACACACAGATCCGGGAGAAGGCTAGCACCGAACCACTTTTCAACATGTTGGCAGTGCCGTTGTTATAAAAACGTTTCTGCAGTCAGGCACTGCCATATCCACGGAAACGAATGGAAGAAAAAAAAAACTTTGTGATTTGTCAGCAGACCACTTGCTAAAAGACCAGTTAAAATCAGCAGTATGGCACTAAATGGGCAGGACCATCTCCACTAAATTGAAAGACGAGGATTAATGAAAGGATTTCGCTGACTGGTGCCGGATAGGCTCATCCTCACGTCCTCACCAACCAACCATGCAAGCCCGCTCGACCCCGGATAGGAGGGCTACTTCAACGTCCGCATCGTCTGCGTCGCTCTACCCCTTCGGACGCATGTGCCCTCCGGTGGTGGCATGGTGCATTGCAATTCATGTCAGGCTAAATCGATCAACCAACCACACGGGCCTACGGAAGCCGCCGATCCAATGTAATCTACACGCGTCGCGCCCGCGCGCAAAAGAAAGGCGAGAAAAACGACCTATATATGCGACGTGCTCGGCCACGACCCACACGACAGCGAACGTGCGCGCGTGCGTGTGCAACGGCGGCCCAAGGCGCAAACGCGAACGCCTCAATCTTTCCACTTCGTTCCACCTCTCCTCCGTGCAAAATCCCCAGCGCGCACGCCTCGTCCCCCTACGTGCCGCGGGCGTGGTTGCACGTCGTACGTACGCAGGCGTCCTCGCGAGGGCGCGCACGCAGGTGCGAGCTCGTGGCGGGTGACGAAGCGGTGAAGGCAAGGCATCGCGGCGGCTGTTTGATCCGGGGCCTCTTTTTGCTCCCCGTGATCAGGTATTCGGGTGCTATACTTAGGTCTGGCAAAAGTCAGCCGGGCCGCGCGCGGTTTGGCCATGGCTGCGGCGCCGCCGTCCGTGGCGTCGTCGTCGTCGTCGTCCAGCCCCGTCCTGTCGGCCGCGCACCGCCGCCGGCTCAACGACGTCGAGCGAGACGCGTTCGACTACGGCGGCCCGTGCGACGTCGACGTCGATCATGATGACGACGACGGCGGCGGCGGAGTGCGCCGCGGGCACGGCGCCGGCGTGGCGGGTGTCAGGGCGCTGTTCTCGTCGGCCAGGAGGAGCAAGAGGGCGTCCGTGATTATCGATCAGGCATGGCTGCGGAACGTGGTCGCGTGCCTGCTCGGCCTCACCGTCGTCGCCGGGCTCGTGCTGAGCTCGCACCGAGTGAGCGGCGCCGGCGGCGGGAGGCTCGTGCAGAGGATGGACCTCGGTGACGGCGAAGTGATGGGCTGGACGGAGGAGAACTTGACGGCTGTTGCTCGCCAGTCACCTGACACGCCGGTAAGTACGTATCGCCGTTAACGGTTCGGTTAATCAATCCCACACAAACCGGTGCTTAGCGGTTGGTGCACATACTAGACGGTAGATAGAGTCAAGATTATTTAAGAAAAGAGGAAATTATGACGCGCCATGAATGATATATATTTGAGTAGAAGTGTAGAACTCGTTCCAGCTTTTGTTCCTGGGTATAGACATTGAATTGGCACAGACGTGTTGGAACCTACTCTCTTCGTGGACTGGATGTCACCATGTGTGTACGCAAGAGAAGTATAGAACTTAGAGAAAAATTCATGGCGAGCGTCCATGGCCTTCAGGTCTCAGCTGTCTTTTGTATTCTTGCTTAGAAACACGCTGAACACGGTAGAGACATTTCTTCTTCAGAAGTTACAGGGGAAGCCCTTCCATCCGTGTCTTTGTCGATGGATAAGTGCCTGTTCTTGTCGCCCGTGGTGTAGCATAATGGTATTTTCTTTAGCACATCGCTGTTTCTTCTTTTTCGCGTAGTTATTATCGCTGGTGGTCATCCGTTGCAGAATTCAATCGGGAGAGTGATTCCCTAAGGTTAACGCCACTTATGTAGGCCCTTGGCGCCTGCAGCGCGAGGCCCTTCCAAATTGCTTGATGTTGATGTCCAGGCACTCAAAGCTGGGATTTGCTACAACATTTCAAGAAACTCACATTGAAGAAACTCACAGCGTTACACAAACATTCATTTCATTGCTAGTGCCAAAACAATCAAGCAGCATAGGAGAAAAAACATTTTTCAAGTTTCAGCACTGAAACTATCGCCAAGTTGAAACAGAGGTTCAAGACACAAATAACCAACAGATGCACTAAATCTTGCAAATGAAAAGAAAAAGTGGGTTCCTAGTGTTTCCTGGCTATCTAAATCCTCTGCATTAGGTTATAGGAATGAAAATCTGACTGTCGCAATTCTAGTCCCATGCCCTCGACAAGGAAAGATGAGAAAATGAAGTGGGAAATATACATCAATCAATTATATCCTCACTAAGTGCTAGAATAGTGCTTCTATGACTAGAACACTAGGAAAAAGATTTATTTGATGAAACATGATTATCACCTGTTTCCCTCTAATTAAAAGCGTCTTCTGTAGACCTGCAAGTAAAGTAGCAGGATGATCATTGTCATATACGATGTTCCTAATTACAAGAGAGATTTTTTTTTAATTCAATCAGCTGTTTTTTCCCATTCATGAAAGCAAAATATGGTTGAAATGCTACTATGCTAGTAATAATATTCTATGATCAACGAGCTCTATACTGAAGTTCACCTACAAAATGAACAGATGAAGATATGGATGACGCCAGATAGTGAAGGTTATGGCAAATGCATTGAACGCCCGAAGAAACATGACAGTAAGCTATTACTCTCCATCTTTCAAGTTCATGCTAGTTTAAACTGAGTGCCTACGCTTAACCACATATCATATGCTTCTTGCCAGGAATGAACAGTGCAACAGCTGGTTATATAATTGTTAATGCCAATGGTGGATTGAACCAGATGAGACTGGGAGTATGTACACATCTATGTTAGGGAAAAAAAACCTTTAAACATATCAAGATGATTACGACTTCCAGCTCACTTACATTGCTTCAAAATCTTTCATGCAGATAAGCGACATGGTTGCAGTTGCTAAGCTCATGAATGCAACACTAGTAATCCCTACTCTGGATCACAAATCATTTTGGACTGATCCAAGGTTAATCTCTTTATGACCAGTATAAATATACTATAATGAGGGTCCTAGAGAAACTACTGGGATATATAACTGATGTTTTGGTCCTAACATGCAGTGATTTCAAAGATATATTTGATGTGGAACACTTCAAGAAAACTTTAGAGGGTGACATTTCGATTGTGGATTCCTTGCCACTAGCTTATAAAGGATTGAAACTTTATATGAGAGCACCCACTTCTTGGGCCAAGGTATGGACCAATCACTCAAGTGGGCATCAAAGTTATTTAGAAAAAGACATAATATACTGCAGTCGAAGAGTTATGAACTGCTAGTTACTTTTCTGCAGGCTTCTTACTACAGAGCTTTCTCAAGGACACTGAAGAAGGCCAAAGTTGTGAAATTCACACATACAGATTCACGAATTGTTAACAATGGTCTTCCCCCATCCATCCAACGACTCCGTTGTCGGGCAAATTATGAGGCACTAAGATTCCACAAAGAAATTGAAGAGCTGAGTACTGCTCTAGTAGATAGACTGAGGAATGGATCCAATCATTATATCGCACTTCACTTAAGGTGATTGAAACTGGAAATGTTAAGTGAAGCTGACATAATTTTGCTGCAAATAATCTTGCAGATCAGTAATGTACTTCCTTTTCTTATCAATTAACAGGTATGAGAAGGACATGCTCTCATTTACTGGTTGCAGCCACAACCTAACACATAAAGAGGCAGATGAGCTGAGAGAAATGAGACTCAACGTGCGGCACTGGAAAGAGAAGGAAATCAACAGTAGGGAGAGGAGACTCCAAGGACGCTGCCCTATGACTCCTCGTGAAGTAGCTCTTTTCCTCAAAGCTATGGGCTATCCTTCCAGCACAAAGATCTATATTGTAGCAGGTGAAATATATGGTGGACATAGCATGGATTCATTAAAGGCTGAATATCCAAACATATATACACATTATAGTCTGGCAACGGTAGATGAGTTAGAGCCTTTCAAGCTATACCAAAACAGATTAGCTGCCTTGGACTATAATGTAGCCGTCCAAAGTGATGTTTTTGTGTATACGTATGATGGAAATATGGCTAAAGCAGTACAGGGTCACAGAAGATTTGAAGGATTCCAAAAAACCATCAACCCAGACAGGTACAGTTCTAGGAATGTTGTAATTATTATACCTCAATTGTAAGAGCTGAATTTTTTAACTGATTGTAGGCAGAAGCTTGTGGGACTCATTGACAAGCTTGATGAAGGTACACTAACATGGAATGAGTTCCAAAGTGAAGTGAAGATACATCATGAAAACAGACTTGGGGGTCCATATCAGAGGTTATCTGGTCGAAGTCCTAGGCAAGAGGAGTACTTCTACGCAAATCCCCTTCCAGGCTGCTTGTGCAAAAGAATGCAAAGGATTAAATGACGCTGATTTGTTATGAAGAGGATGTGATATTATTGTCTTCAAAAGTTCCAACCACTTCCCTGATGTAGCATGGATATACAAACACAAAATCTTCTAACAAAGAATTACACTGGTAATGGACAGGGACAGCCCACAGATAATTTTCCTAGATTAACAGTGTATGCAGCCATCATTCATAGAAAAGGAAGCAGGAGGGGCAGGTCCATTTATTATCGTCTGAGATCTGCATCTCCAGTTGATTATTTATTCAAGTATACAGGAAACGGAAGAGTAAAAAAGATTTTAAATACCAGCAAAGCATAGATGTGCCAGAAGTGATGGGATAGCTTGAAAGAATACCTTTTTTAGTGCATGTATGTAGTTCACACTTCACACACTCCATATGTACAGTCTGTCCTCTTTTTATATTTTGTATTCATCCCAAAATTGCAGCTTTATTCAGATAGGCATGTATGATGTATATAGAGAGAGCAGGATGTACCCAAGAAGAAACAAGTGATGAATGGTAAATTCTTTTTTAGTTTATTTCATTCCATTGAGTCTTTGCATTTCAAGTTTGCTTTAGGAATTTGTGCTGCCATGATGCCAACAAACATTTTATCACTAAGTTCAGTTGATTGTTTTGGATTTCTATGCTTTGCTCCATTTCATATCAATCATCCTCGATATCATAACTAAATATCATCCATGTTGCCAGTTCCTCTCAAACAGAGTACTGTTGTTCTTAATTCTTAAACACATTCCCTGTTAAGTTTCCTTGAATGTGTGAAACTAAGTCAATTTCAGAAATTGTGACTTCATTCTGATTATTTAGCTTTATCACTAACATAAATGTGTGCAGAAAAAGAAGCACCAATTTAGTGACATGGGTCAGTGGGTTAGACACTTGCATCCCTACCATGGAAGTCAATAGGTAAACATAGCTCTTCAAAACTGTAAAGCAATGGAAGCCTCCAAGTGGCAGACACATTTTTCCAACTAAAACTGAACACTGAAACAATATGGAACGGACGATAGGATGATACCTGAAAAGCCTGTAAGCTGTTTTGGTAAAACTTTTCCCTTGACCACCTCTGTTGCAGCACTCATGAAATACACTTGTATATCATGAGCATTGTTCTTTTAATCACAAATGATTACCAGTCCGCCAGTCACCACATAGAAGGCACATATACTTGCTCCTTCAAGTTCTGGGCAGCACTCTCAGTAGGGAATCCTCGCACAGCACCAATAGTCCATTGCGAAATGATTCCGGCAGCAACAGCGAATCTCAGATTCCTCTCCAATGTATCCTGGTCCTCATACATCTCAGGACAAGACGTCAATTTTCTAATAGCAGCAGCAACAACAGCATCTCCAGAACCTGTCCGGTCAGTTGTGTATGGAGTTATGAGTGCATCCTCCGTCCCAATCACGCAGCCATGAAACTTGGGTGTGTAGTAGTGGATCCTAAGTGTTCCGTATGTCACAAGCAAGAGTTTTATCCCATCATGCCAAATGGGAGCAATTTCTTCGGGGGTGTAATGGTAGTACTGTGGCCAGTTCCTTGTTAGATGAAAACCATCCAGATAATACTGAGGTGGATTGGCACGCTTATATTGATAGTACTCGTGATCAAGGAGGAATTCCAACTCATCCCTTGACACCTCTATAATATCAGCCTCATTCCATGCCTTGTTTATCAACTCCTTTGTTTCATCCCTTGACCTCCACAAAGGCAATGGCAAGTTAAGATCAAAGAATATTTTACTTCCAAATTTCTTGGACAGTTCAATTGCTCTGAAGAGTGTGCTTTCCATTGAGGGAGTCAATAGGACCTCTGAATTGAAATGGAACACTCTAGCCTGCAATTACAGCACGTTAGGTCTAAAATTCATTTTTTTTTGCTTTCCATCAAATCATAAATAAAGAAAAGACGGTCTACAATCTACTTTCACGGGCACATAAAAAATTCATCTTCTAAGGATAAACATCATATAACAGGGTAAAATTTGTTTGTCTTTTTAATCTGCAAAACTGGTTGGCTTGGCACCATTGTATGTTCAACTGAACTAATGAATAGACATAAGCAATTGTGCTCTGTAGTACACTACTCACATAGAGTCGGTGTTTTTCAATGCAACAATGTACCGCAGCTGAGCGGTGGATATCCTTGCCGAGAAATAAAAATGCAGCAATGGAGTATGCAGAAGTCACCAATTTCAATCATTTACCACAAAATCACCGACTCACCTCTTTCAAAACATCCACATTGATCTCAGCCTTGCTGAGGGAGTCCTCGGCAGCGCTCTTCACCGTCTCAGCCACAAGCCTCGTTCCGCCGCTGCCGTCCTCACGGTCCCGGAACCCGACCTTCATGCGCGCAGTGGCCGTGGCCGCGCCGTCGTCGAACCTGATGGCGCGCGTCTGCACTCGCTCGCAGTTCATGCGGTACACAAGCTCGCGGCCGAAGTCGTCGTCACCGACCTTGCCGAGCACCGCGGCGCGGCCGCCGAGCCTGGTGAGCGCGATGGCCACGTTGCTCGCCGCGCTCCCCGGCGCGCGCGCGAACTCCGGAGGCTCCCACTGCAGATGCAGCCACGTGGAGTATATGTCCGGGTGCATCTGCCGGTCCGACACCCGCACCGTCGGGACGAACTCCCACCGCGGCGCCCCGAAGCAGCACACCAGCGGCGGCCAGTCGTACGGCGAATCCTCCCCGTCTTCGGAGTCGCTCCCCGTCGCCTCCGCCTCCCCATCCTCATCTTGGACCGCTCTCTTCGAATCCTCCGTTCCGGGGCTCGCCGCCCGGACCTCATCCTCCTTCTCCGCCGCCTCCTGCTCGGCCTCTTGCTTGGATTTCCTTGTCCGACGGCCCCGCCGCTTCGGCGGCTCCTCCTCGCCCTCTGAATCAGACTCCTGCGTATTCTTCTTGGTCCTGCGCCTCGTGGTCTTCGCCTTCGGCGGCGACGGGGATGGGGACTTCCTGCGCCCGCGGCGTGGGGCGGGTTCAGGGGATTCCGGTACGGCGGCGCCGTTCGGGGAGCAGCGAATATGGCGGCCTCGGAAGATGCTGGGGTGGATGCGCGCGGCGAGGATGGTGGGCTTGGGGAATAAGGATGGCAAGATGAGGAATGGGGAGGCCGCCATGGCCATAGCCGGCTCTCTCCTTCGGTGGGAAGCCTGGTAGAAGACGAAGGTGTTCGACTCTATCCAGTTCGCGTTGAAGGGTTTAGCGACCGTTAAGGATGTCGGGTTGCGCCCGAATCCATAAACTGGGTTGCAGCCTTGCGGGTATGGATCTGAGCGCTTTGTAGGCCCAACATTGAAACGGAACGGTGCTGCACCGCTAACTAATATGGGCCAAATTCGATCTCGACGGCCAGCCTGAAGTTTAGATTTGACAGTTGCGTTGGCTCAAGTATGAGGTTGCAGTGAGCGTCTCCAATAAGTTCAGGCCGGAACAAATTTACCGTCAAGGAGCATAACTGCATAAGCTGTGTACTCTGCCCGTGACTGAACTGCAGAGTATTCTTGTGTGCATGCTTGATTCATTTTTCCGGACTACTGAAATTTTTCCCAAGATATGTCCATTATTCGTTGATCCAAACATACATCAGTACAGAACAAAGTCAAAAGGATAAAGAAATAGAGAAATAGCTAGGGCCTAGGAGTAACAAGGACACCCTGATAAAAGTACATGCGCATCAGTACATCACTAGACACCAACAATGGAGTCTCGCCGTATCACTCGACGGGGACCATGACCTCGTTGGTGCGCAGCGGAGGCAGAGTAAACGGCGGGTTGTACCGCGCCAGCACGAAGGGGCCCTTGACGGTGAACCCGTCCTTCTCCAGCGCGGCCTTGAGCCACTCCGCCTTCTCCTTCACCACCTTGTCTCCGGTCAGGCCGCTGAACCTCACCACCCCGTACTTCCTCTCCCCCACCTGCCGCAGCACCACCCGCTCGTCCGTCGGCCGCGGCGCCTCCTCCACCTTGCTGTACTTGGACGGCAGCAGAAACTGCATTGTCATCTGACCCTTCCCCTGGCTGCGCTCTTCGGCCGTGATCACCGGCGCGGTCATCGCCACCGGCTCAGGCTCACCGGAGGTGATGACCGGGGCCGTCATGGCGATACTCTCGGGCTCGCCGGAGGTGATGACCGGCGCGGTCATGTCGATCTTCTCTGGCTTGGTGTTCTGCGGGTTGCCGAGGGCGCCGATGTAGTTGCCGAGGACGGTGAACCCGCCGTCGCGGTCGCCTTTCATCTCCGCGGGGTCGTAGGTGACCTCGGCGACGACGCACGGCGGGTACTTGCGGACCTCGTAGCCGGCGCCGGTGTGGAGCACCTCGTGCTTGGGCGTCTCCACCGTGATCTTGCCCAGCACCATCCCCATGGCGGTCGACGGCCGGCGAGATCAGCGAGCAGGTGAAAATTAAGGTCGGATTCGATCTCAGCGGCGGGGGTGGGTTTGTTCTTTGTTGGATACTTGGATGAGTGATTGGCGGTGGGCTTGGCCGCTTGGAGTTTAAAGAAGCGGCGAGGAGGCGGGATGTGTGGACGAAGTGGGGAGCCTGAATCGCGGCGCGTGTTGCTCCACGTCCGCGGTGCGTTTTGTCTTCGGCTTGGCGGGCAAGTCCAGCACTCTGCAACAACCTCGATACGTCCTCCGTTGGCTTTCGCTTTGACTAGAGGTCTAGAGCCGCTGGCGCACGGTATTTTGCTGCTTTCTGGAGTTCATGGGCTGGACTTTGGGCTTTACCAAAATAACAGGACCAAATGAGGGCCAGACGGCCAGTAAATAATGGGCTCGACGCTTTCGACCAAGTTATATGAGCATGTGACAAAGTTCGGCTCTGATCATATATCTATTATATTATTAAAACAGCTTTGAAAGGAGACACCATGTTCACTGTGGGGGCTAGAAATTTTCACATTAATCGGAGAAAAATAAAAAAAAAGAAAAAGGAGAGTCCAAGTAGAAGTACAATTTAAAAATAGCTGAAATTCGAAATTAAAAATAAGCAATATTGAAAGAAGTTTCTATATAAGAACCCAATATGAGATTAATCAAAATTCGAAATAAAAATAAAAAAATCCAAAATCAAAAAAGGAAAGGAGAGTCCAAGTAGAAATACAATTTAAAAATAGCTGAAATTCGAAATTAAAAATAAGGAATATTAAAATAAGTTTCCATATAAGAACCCAATACGAGATTAATCAAAAATCAAAATAATAATAAAATAAAATCTAAAATTAGAAAAGAAAATAAGAGTCCAAGTAGGAATACAATATAAAAATATCTGAATTCGGAATTAAAAATAAGGAATATTAAAATAAGAGTCTATATAATAACCCAATACAAGATTAATTAAAATTCAGAATAAAAATAATTCCCACATTAATTGGAGAAAAAGAAAAAAAAGAAAAAGGAGAGTCCAAGTAGAAGTATAATTTAAAAATAACTGAAATTCAAAATTAAAAATAAGAAATATTGAAAGAAGAATCCAATACGAGATTAATTAAAAATTAGAATAAAAAATAAAATAATATCTAAAACTAGAAAAATTAAAAGAGAGTTCAAATAGGAATACAATTTTGAAACAACTGAAATTGAAAATAAAAAATAAAAACATTAAAATAACACAATACGATATTAACTAAAATTTTTTAAAAAATTCTGAAATTAGAAAAATAAAAATAAGATATCAATTAGGAATACAATTTATAAATAACTAAAATTTGTGATAAAAATAAAGATCATTGAAAGAAAAGACCATCTAAAACACATGACGAGATAAATTAAGTAACATGCCTATAAAGAAGTAGAGTGGTGGCGGTTGATATGAGATATAAAAATTGTTAATAAAACACCAAATAGAATCCTAATGACGATTAAAAGGAGAGACGTCAGGCAGGCCATGAAGCAAACGAGTAAGGCGATTGCCGGGACTTCTAGAAAGTAAAAAAAAACCCATTGATAATCATATTCAATTTTTAAAATCTCAATGATAATAAAAAGGAGAAGCAGCGGGCGGGGTGTATAAGAGCATAGTTGTAGAGCCGCCGACGGTTGACAGGACTTCTAGAAAATAAAAAATGAATTCCAACGACAGTTATGTTCGATTTTTAGAATCACAATGTCAATAAAGAGTTGGCGGCGGACAGGCTGTAGAGGGGCATTGTAGCATCGTTTGATGGGACTTCTAAAAATTATAAAAAATAAAACTACAAGTCCAATTTTTAAAGGTTTTGAACTTCTAAAAAGTAAAAAAACCCAACGATAATCATGTTCGATTCTAAAATCTCAATGCCAATAAGAAGGGAGGCAGCGGGTGAGCCGTAGAGGAGTACAATAGCAAAGCCGCTGACGGTTTGGCGGAACTTCTAGAAAGTAAAAAATGAACCCAAACAAAAATTATGTTCGATTTTTAAAATCTCAATGACAACAATGAGAAGAGACCGTGGACGGGCCGTAGAGTAGTATAATGGCAACGTTTGATGGGACATCTAGAAATTATAAAAATGAAACCCAACATGACAATAAACTCTAAAAACTATAAAATCTAATTTTTAAAGGTTCCAAGAAGAATGAATGAAAATAGTGGTAGATCGAGCAAGCAAATAAAGAAGGAGATGACATAAGGGATAGCAACTGGTGTGACTTTTAAAAACTATATAATTAGAAACACGAGGATGATAAGGTTTGGTCTTTCAAAGTCTTAAGACAATGAAATAGCTAGATAGCTATTTAATAAATTTTAAATAAAATCATACTTAAAAACTATATGATTTTGTTTGGATGCTAGCCGCTCAATTGCGCGGGCCACCCAGCTAATTTAAAAAAAAACAAAAAGAAAAGTTCGGTTCTGATTGTTTGATTCCAAAAAGAATGAAGCAAGAAAAATAATTTACATGTAGAATCCCTCAAAATCAACTCTAAATAGTAAAATTCAATTTGTGGTTGCAATTGATATGCCAACAAGTAAACATAGCTTATTCATTCTTTTGGTGAAGTAGTTCGTTCCGTGAGCCTATGTGCAAATATTCCAATTCTTGCAGCAATGAAAAATTTCATGAGGAGCTATTGTAGTAATCCAGCTTACAATGAGAGGCTAAAAGGAGGAAGTAGTAACAAGACAGTGACGAATTGGAAGGCTCCAGAAGCCCATCCTTTATTCAGTACTGAAATCTTAAAAAGTGGCGAACTTCGAACATGATTGTCCTAAACACAAGCAGGATGAGAAAAGAATGACCACACGAGCAGTAAGTACATGGAATTTGAATACGGGCACGCCTCGCACACTCAAATCTTTCTTTTTCAGGTGAAAACTCCTATACCCAATCTCATTCCTGGTATCATGAACTTGTCGAGTATACTCTGTATATACGCACATAATCTGTAAGGCGTTCATCCATGGCATTTTGGATGGTCAACAGGAGGTGGAGGGAGCAGATTCGGGGCTGGTCCGTTCAGCACCTCGAAAACCATGGCCAGCCCCAACGGCAGGTGCGCGTCCAAGTGACAGTGCATGAACCACATACCTACAGTTTCATCCCCGATGCATGGAACCAATCAGAAATCAGTTGCAACTCAACAACTCGACAGTCACTTGCACGGTTGCACCAAATCATGTAAGGTAAAAATAAATTAAGCGCCGCGGGCTCACCTGGGTTGTTCGCCATGAACCGGATCACCGCCCAGCCGCCGGCCGGCACGGCGACGGTGTTGCGCACCTGCGGGTCCACGAGGTTGTACTTGCTCTTCATCGACGGGTTGAACCGGCCGAGCCCCTGCGCCAGCAGGTAGAAGTCGAACCCGTGCAGGTGGATCGGGTGGTTCTCGGTGCCGAGCGTGCTACTGTACTGCTCGCTCTGCAGCACCACCTCCACCACGTCGTTGTACTTCACTTTCTTCACCGCCGTCGCCTTCCTGAACCCCTGCATCGGCGGCGGGAAGTCCGGGAAGTCCTCGGAGTACACGCCCGGTACGCCCTTGTAGAGCGCCTCGAGTAGCGACACCTTCTGATCCGGGAACTGGAACGAGTTCCTGTTCATGGCCGCCACGAGCGCGAACCCGCTGCACTTCGTCTGGTTGGGCGCGCACGGCGCCTGGTCCAGCCCGAACGTCACCACCATGTTGTGGTCGACGGTTGTTGGCACGCCCGGGTCGCTCGGGCGCGCGAGGCCGGTGAGTGACCAGTAGAATCTGCCGGCGGTGACGACGTCGTCGTGGGGCGGCAGGGACGGCATGGCCGCCGGGGCGTAATTCGGCACGCCCTTGTACTTCACGATGCCCGTGGCGGTGGACTGGTCGAACGGCACGGCGACGGTCTTGCTGTCGAAGACGTGTGCCGCCATGTAGTACCGACCGGGCGATGCTGTGGTGTTCATGAGGGCGTCCACCGTCTGGCCCGGCGCGATGACGATGACGTCCGTGGCGTATGGTTTGGTGTAGCTGGCGTCGGCGGCGACCACGGTGAAGGTGTGGCCGGCCACCTTGAAGAAGAGCTCCACATTGACTGCAGCGTTGATGATGCGCAGGAGGCAAGTCTTGCCGTACTCCACCTCCACTTCATACATGGCGGAACCTAATGTGTTGCACACACACAAAAAAAATGCAGGTCGGGAAAATGTTGGTCACAGGTAAACTATCTAATACGTGCTGGTGGAGCTGTACCTTTGCAGCGATTCTGGTCACCTGGCATGCCGTTGATGGTGAGCGCATCTGAAATCTGAGGCCCTAAGCCGGTCAGGTACCCATCATTCTCCACATCGTCCACATTTCTGTTCCACCACTCACCTGCCAGAGAAAACAACAATTACGTAATATCGTGACGAGCCACACAGCAAAAATGAACCATGCCACATTGCCACCATCTCTCCATCGTGTATACGGTACTAGTTCTTGCGTACCTAGTAGGATCGGGATCTCTTCATATGGTTCAGGGAACGGGTACCCACTCGGCCCATTCCTGGGTTTTATGATGAGCGCGCCGTAGATGGTTGCTCGGAGGAGCGAGGAGTGCGCGTGCCACCACAGCGTCCCCTCCTGGCCGGTGATGTTGAACCGGTACGTGAAATTGCCAGAAGGCTGGATGGGGCATTGCGTGATCTTGTTGGCCCCGTCATTCCAACCACTCCGGAGCTGGTATACACCGTGCCTGCATCAATCACCACCGGAGAGGAAACACATGAGTTTTGGGCCGGTTTGTCCAGGTGTGGTAGGCCGGAAGCCCAGAATGATTGAGGGACTATGGGCTGTGTGGGCTGGATATGTGAGGCCCACAAACATTGGCAGTCTGTTGTATTCAGATCACGCCCCCTGTTTGGCAAAGGAAAGTTCAGAGAATGTCAAAGCGCTTACCAATGGAGTGACAGAGGGTACGGTGAGTCGTTCACGGCGTGGACGACCAGTGTATCGCCTTCGGTAACCTCTATGGTCGGTCCCGGCAGCTGCTGGTTGGCCGTGTAGATCACACTGTTCATGCATAGCTGGGTGATCTTCGTACCGCCCACCTGAATTCAGGTATACGCAGAACTTAGAAAGACATAGCCGTGGACCCTTGCAACACTCCACTCCAAAACGAACAAGCACCACAGCCACAGGTGGAGCGACGCGCGCGAAAGCCAGAGTACAGTACATAACGCTGGATATATACGAAGAGAGCAAACATGCACACAAACAAGTTTCTGGGCAGGAATTTTTACCTTGAAGGTGTGCTCCACGACGGCCGCGCTTGCTGCTGCCGTGCAGAGAACCAGCACGAGCGGCACGAGCATGGCTGCCGATGCCATGGCCGGAGTCTTCAGTAGCAACTGGAGTAGCAAAGTTGAGGAGACACACCGCCATGGCGCGCGCGTCCTTAAGTATTAGCACAATAGTACATCCTATTGAACTGACATTGGAACTAGTCTATCTTATTACTTCTTCTTGCAGAACGACGTATGAAACAGCGTATTCGTGAATGCGTACGTAAGTCTAATGAACCGATTCCACTTGGCCGTCATGGCGTGAGAGCTTTAGTAACAACGAAATCAGATTGCGACGGCATGAGCCATGGAGGGATGCTGTTTTCCTCGAAAACGCAGTTGGATTAAATCACCATTACAGTATATGGCACGTCATGAAGTTGGTAAAGGAAGAAGTTTGGCTAGATGTAGCATCTATCAATTATTCTAAGTGTGTATCTGAGGTCAAGAGCATCCAGTAGAAAATTTCTACACTTATACATATTGTTTTACTAAAGCTCCATCTAGCACGTATAGTACGTACCGTCTCTTCAGTTAAAAAATTCAAATAATTGAGTTTAATAACAACGTGGATGACACATTCAACAAGAAAAACTCGTAGTGTCTGCGCATGTACCATGTGTTTTAAAAAACAACACACACTCTCGCACACGCGTACAAAACTTCCATCAAGTTCTGACTAAATGGTGGACTCCACGACCCTACACCTCCTGGCCAAATGTAGGCTAACAAAGAGAATATGGACAGAAATCCAGAGATGGACATGCACCGACCTTCAGATGGGTAGTTGGGAAACTTGTCACTCTGTTGGGCAGTGGTGGACTCTCGTAGCGGAGTCCCCAAACACCCCCGCAAGCCTCTAAAGACTATGATTATCCTAGTCTCGTGGGAAATCTGGTGCGAACACAATGCAAGAATTTTCCGAAACTCTGCGTCATCACCGTCCTCAATCCTAGCAAAGATCAAGGAGGAAGGAAGAGCATGGGTCAAAGCAGAGGCAACAACCCTACAGGAGTTTGGAATCCTGGGAGATATCACTTAGCTCTTTTCCTTTTTTGCGGGGTAGTCTTTTTCCTCGGCTAACCCTATATATACCCTTGTTTATTTTTCTCCTGCTCTATTAATATACACAAGGCAAAGCTTTTGCCTTTCTTCAAAAACTTCCATCAAGTTCTCGTTACTAAGTTAAGTATCAAAACAATAAGAAAGCTAATGCGTATCATAGAGAACATAGACACAACGGTGAATATGGGACGTTCATGCAAGCTACCAAAGTTGCTCAACTTCTCTATACACTTAGGGCCCTTTAAATCGCAGAATTAGAAAAACACAGAATTTTGACAAGAATACAAGTATAAAGAAGAGGATTGCAAAACATAGAAAAACACATGAATGACCGTTTGATTAGATCACAAGAAAAACGTATGAATCAGATAAGAGAGATATACTCAAAGGGAAATTTTTAAGAGGTTGAAGTTCTCGGTAAATTTCGTACAAAATCTCTATAGGATTGTTCAATCCATAGGAATTATAAAAGATGGAGTATGATTCAATCCTTTCTTTTAAAGACTTCATAAAAAAATTTCATATAGGATTGAAACACTCTAAAATTTCTTTTCTTTGTTTTTTCTCTAAATCAAAGGGGCCCTTAAAATAAAGGGGCCCTTAAAATGTTAGTCTAGCTATTGCAATGCACGAACATACTACTATCACTACTACTGTAAAATGGAAATGGTAATTTCATTTATCCGCTACCCCTTGAACGCGATTCCACGTGATTTCGGGAGTTACCGTTCCTCTTCCCATGGCCAAATAAAGAAAATGATCAGATAAAAACTCATGTGACCGATAAAAAATGATAGACAACTTAATGGGTGATCGATAAAAAAAATGGATACAAAATTGGATAGCAAAAACCAAAAACTAAACCCCCACCATCAACCAATAAAAAAATAGATATAAATAAAATGAACCGCTCCCTAAGTAGATTCGTCGGCCCGTGCTTGCACAAAATCCCATTGCAATGTACAACATGCTGTTCTTTTTGTCAGGGAAAGCCTAGTGTGTGTTTACTCATAAAAATATCATCTGGTTTTTGTGGGTCTTAATTCTTAACAAAAACATTTTTGTAGCATTAGAAAAAGAACAAACTCTATATTTAAATGTTTGGACTAGAATACTCACCATGCATGCCTACATGGCATGAATACTATACTATATCTATATAATACTCCATTTGTTTTATATTATAAGTCGTTTGACTTTTTTTCTAGTCAAACTTTGTTACGTTTGACCAAATTTATAGAAAAAATTTCAATATTTAATTTTTGTCAAATTAGTTTCATTAAATCTAGCATTGAATATATTTTGATAATATGTTTGTTTTGTGTTGAAAATATTACTATATTTTTGTATAAATTTGGAAATTTGATAAGGAAAAAAAGTTAAACATCCTATAGCGCCCGTTCCGTCGTGGCGCCTAGCGGGAAAATTAAATTCTTAAAAACCCTAATTGCAAAATTTGTTCTTTGAGTGTTGTCAAGCATCCGTGCCATTCCGGATCTCAAAATCCCCGATCTATCGTCAAATTCAAATCCCGAATCCAAATCTTTCCCAAATCAAATTCCTCCGCAAAAGTCTAAAATGCCTCCCCGTCGTTTGGTGGGCCGATTCTCTCTCTCTCAGCCCGCTCTCTCTCCCCCCCTCAGCTCCGTCTCTCTCTCCCTCGCTCTGCCCGTGTGCCGCACGCGCGTGTGCGCGTGCGCCGAGCCGAGCGCTCTCCCCTCTCTCGCTCTCTCTCCCCGCTCCATCCCCAGCGAGCTCCCCACCCGCAATTTCGAATCCGCGTGCCGTTGCTTCACGCGTGCGCCCGCGCGGTCGCCGCCGTCGTCAGCCACCTGCTACCCATGCCTACGCCGTCCGGCCCCGCGCCCTACCGCGCTGCGCCGCTTGCGTCGCGCCTTGCCCCGCGAGCCAGCGCGCGTGCCCGAGCCGCTCCACCTGCATCCGTCCAAAAACCGGAGACAGCGCCTCCCGCTCCCATCTCTCTCCCTTCCCAAATCGGCATGGCTCGAGCTCCCTTTCTCCCCCTCTGTTTTCCCCTTTCCTCACTCGGCCCGGCCTCTGTTTCTCCCGCTTGGTTCCAGCGCCATGGGCAGGGAGGAGCGCCTGACGCCGAGCCATCGCCCATGCCGTTTGACCCCGCGCCCGTGAGCCCGTTCCTTCCCCTCGAAGCTCCCTCGCCCCAGTACCGCTCGAGGTCGGTTTCCTCTCCTCCCAAACCGACATAACCACCCCATAAAAGCCGCCCCTCCCCCTCTCGCTCGATTCCCCTGTTTCGCTCCAAGCCGCCGAGCCATTGCCGCCTCGCCCGTGCCCTGCTTGCTGTCGCCTTCCGCCGTCGCGTGTGCCGGAGGAGCCAGTGCGCGCTAGGAACGGAAGGGGACTCCGGGCGCACGTCTTCCTCCTCTTCCCCGGCCCGAGGCCGGAGCGATCACGCCCCGCGCCGTCAGCCATCGTCACTGCGCCCTTCACCTCGTCGCGGTAGTGCACTCCCCGTTCTCCCTCCTCGTTCCTCCTCCTGCCCCTAGCTTTCGGTAGTAGCACGAGTAGACCCCCGTAGTCAGCTGGCGCCGCCCCAAGCCTTGCCACCGCCCGCTGTGTGCTCACCGCCGTCGCCGCCCGAGCTCGGTAGCGCCTCTCGTCGCCGGCCTCCCTCGGTGCGTTTCCTCCTAATCCGGCACAAGGAATGGATTCCCGGAGTCGCGTAGATGCTCTAGTGCGAAGGAATCGAACTCCCGTCGCGCCGTCGCCATTTCCCCCTTCTCTTGCCGCCGGTTGCCACCGCCGCAATCCGCCGCCGTCGCACTCCCTCCGGCGAATCCGAGCAGTTAGCTCGTCTCCTCTAGTCTCGCGCTACCTCCCGGTGTGTTCGCCCTCGCCCGCATCGCCGTATATCGCCCCGCCGCTCGCCGCCGCCGTCCCCCGTCCGTTCGCGGGCGCGTCGTCGTCTTCCTCTCGCCGGTCCGCGTGGCGGCCACGTAGGCGCCACCTCGGCGCCACCTCGGCCGCGACCGGGTCAAGATGACCCCGGTCCGCCGCTCCCCTCCGCCCCGCTCGTGCGCGCGGTCCACTGCGAGCCGTGAGGCTGCGTGTGGGCCCGCCGCATCCGCATCCCACCGCGAGCCGCGCGCGTGCACCGCGCCCCCTCCAAACCCTAGCGCCGCGTCGCGTGCTCCTCACTCTTGGTGAGCCGAGCCGCCGACAAGCGGGTCCCACTCGGGACCACGCGAGGTGGACCCGGCCCACCGGTTCCCCCTCCCTCTCTCCCTGCGCGTGCCCTTGGGCCGCCTTCTCGGGCCGGCCGGCCCATTTAGCTCAGCTGAGCCGCTCTCTCCTCTCGGGCCGCGGCTATCCCGAGGGAAGTCTAAACTCCCTTCCTCCTTCTTTTCTTTTTCAAAAGGGTTTAATTAAATCCTTTTTCCTTTAGACCAAAAATCCAATAATCTTAGAAATTCAATAACTTCTCAACTGTACATCCGTTTGACTCTGTTCAACTTCCAAAAATCCTCAAGTCTCGAGATCTATCTAATGGCACGCTTAGAGGTCAATAATACGGCTTTATTTTCACCGTTTGTTGAGTTGTCCCGTTTCGCGTGTAGTTTCGGAGCCCGAAGACCCACAGCGCGAGGATTTCGAGGATCAAGCTCAAGATCTCGAGCAAGGCAAGTCACCTTTGAACATTTTGCACCTATAATTTAAATATAAGTATTTCTTTTCCGCAAATATTGCATGAATAGGTTTAACACACGTAATTCGGCCGCGGCTTGCGAGATAGCCTGCCTGCCCCAAATCCTAAATTGCTGCAATTACCCTCCGTGAATTATTGAATACCTAAAACTCCTTTGTCGACTGTTGTGCTTCGATGCACGGGCCTTCGGGCATGGGCATCGGAACACCTCCCCTCAAATTTAAAACATCCAACGATGGGTAAAACTTGGGGTTTACAAAAGACTTGGAAAAAAACCCTGATACCTGGGTCGGTGCTTGCGAACTAAATGAATTTCCAAAATCGCAGACCGGGGGACGTACCGAGAGTACGGTTTCCCACTCTTGCACTAAGGACCGTTTCCTTGGAATTTCATCCGAACATAAGACAAGTGCGACCACATGGGTGTAATGGGACGCCCCTGGCTGAGTAATTAGCTAATCGGGGGAGCCATGATGCCAAGAGACATGTGGATTCAATGGGGTGGTGCCGGGGAGAACCCCTAGGTTTCCTGACACAGTATGGTCTGGGACCTAACCTGGTGTTGGTCTGGACCCCTCTTGTTGGCATATGGTGAACCTGTGTCGGCTTTCGAAATGCCTTGTCATGAAAGCCTCAAGGTCTCCAGACGTGGCCGTTCTGCACGGGCTGGGTGATCCGGGTTAGTAATGTCGTGTGGGTAAAGTGTACCCCCTCTGTAGAGGTTATTAAACTGTTCGAACAGCCGTGCCCACGGTCATGGGCGGATGTGAGGTGATTCCTAGCGTAGTTTTGTTTGACTACTGCTTGTGAAATTGCTGATGTGGAAAGGGTTCGATGTTTGGAAAAATCTGCGGCTGATGGGATCAGCCAGGCCTGGGTGGCCGTTTGAAAGCTGTTGGCCGGGTGCCAACCTCGATCCAATCAAAGACTGATACATTGCACATACTCCGACCGGACAAGACGCACTGTCTCATCCGTGTCGTTTGAGAAGCACTCACTTAGTTGTTTCAAAAGGGGGTTTAAATAAAATCAATTGCACAAACAACAGCCTTTCCTTTGAAGCCTGCATTAAATACTTAATTCCCATGTCTTGCTGAGTACTCCTGTACTCACCCTTGCTCTACATAAATAATCCCCCCCAGTTGCTGAAGAAGATGAAGTAGGTCTCGCTGATGAGGAGTTCTTCCAGGAGCAAGTCGGCTACGATGAGTTTTAGGGTTTCTGCCTAGTTCTCAAGTCGCGCCTGTGATGAATGGTCCAAGTCTTGGCTTCCGCTTTTCCTTTTGTAATGCAGTTGTGAGTTCGGGATCTGTCCGTAGCCCAACATGATTGTACCCCTACTCTGTAATAAGGAGACCTCTGTTGCTGTGATAATCTGTCTTCCTGTGATACCGGCACTGTTTCCTGGGACTGGTATCGATTAACAGGTTAATTTGGAGAGTCACGGGCTAGTTCCGTTCAGGGCTAGTTCGGGGCGTGACAAGGGTTCTACTGTTCTGATTGCATTTTTGTTTCACAGTTTCACAACCATCTGTGTTCTATATTAGTGTTCTACATACAGAGGAACATGAAAGGCTCAAATAATAGTCATCCATGAATGGACCTGAATTCTGCCAACGTCACACGCATACTTTGATCAAGTCAGGGAAAAACCGCGGCGATGAAATAGCACATATATATAAGTGACGCATTGACATTTCGTTTTGTAAGGTAATGTCCCATTGACAATTGGCGATAAGATTGGCACTTGAACAAAAATATAATTGCAAATGGGCCGAGGGTGTCGTGAGCTTGTGACTCGTAAGACGACGTCGTCCTTTGGTGAAAACCAATCAGAGCTTGCCCTCCTGGCTCCTGCTAGGCTAAATGGCCAAATGCACCCCTGGCAGCTTATCTAAACACAGGAATCTTTAGCTGAAAACTAAGAATTGCAAGCAAACCAACGTCATTCTCCCAAATCGTTGCTTAATTGGTATCCTGGAATAAATTCATGTTTAACACAGTCAAAGGAATCTGAAGTTTGACATTTGTTGCTTTACAGTTTACACGTTCCCCCGGAGAGGAAAAAAAAAACAGACCTCTTTACAGTTTACACATGATACACATACACAGAACAAATAAACGAACGGCACTACCTCGTTTCGTGCCTCCTGTACTCCATTTACACAAACACAAGAACAAATATGAAGTAAAATTTGGCTACGAAAGTGCATTACAATTTGACACCAACGCCAGAATCTTGCAGGTTCTAGCACTTCGGCAGATCGGCAGGCGGCGGAGGGAGGAAGGAGTCAGGCGTCGTCCCGTTATCCACCGCGAACACCATGCCGAGCCCCATCGGAACGTGCGCGTCAAGGTGGCAATGGAAGAACCACATGCCTGCGTCCAAAGTCCAAAACCAGCACCCGTCATTTTCAGCCCATACGTTAGGCCCAAACAGCCCATCTCTAGTTTGGGCCGGAGAAATACGACAGATTTAGCGACAGTAGGATTCCTACCTGGATTGTTGGCAACGAAACGGATGACGGCCCAGCCGCCGGTCGGCACGGCGAGGGTGTTGCGCGAAACCGGGTCGACGAGGTTGTAGCCGCTCACGTTGCCCGGCGTGAAGTTGCCGAGGCCCTGGGCCAGCACGAAGAAGTTGAAGCCGTGGAGGTGGATCGGGTGGTTCTCCGACGGGAAGGCGGTCGGGTTCTGCAGCACGATCTCCACCGTCGAGTTGTACTTGAGCCTCCGCACCTTGGTCCCCTCGACCATCGGCGTGCCGCTCGGCTGCGGGGCGTCCGGGAAGTCGGCGGTGTACACCCCCGGCGTGCGGTTGAACTGCGCCTCCAGGAGGGACATCTGCGACGGGAGGCGGAACGACACGCCGTTCATCGCCGCCGCGACGGATTTCCCCGAGCAGCTGCTCTGTGTGGAGTCGCACGGCAGCTGGCCGAGGCCCAGCTCGATGGTCATGTTCACGTCCACCTTGGTCGGCACGGCCGGCGCGCTGGGAGACGGCGGGCCCCTCAGCCCGAAGTAGAAGGCGTTGGCCGTCGCGGAGTCGGAGCTCTGGGGCATGGTGGGCATGACGGGCGTCGCGTTTTTCTTGGTCGACGTGGTGTTGTAGTGCACGATGGCCGTGGCGGTGGTGTCGTCGGTTACGGCCATGGTGGTCGGAGACAGGCTGTCGTACGCCTGCACCGCCATGTAGTAGCTGCCGGCCGACGCGTTGGTGACCATGAGCGCGTCCACGGTGTGCCCCGGCGCGAGCACGAGCGTGTCCGTGGTGTAGTTGGCGGTGTAGCACGCGTCGACGGCCACGACGGTGAACGCGTGGCCGGCCACCTTGAAGAAGAGGTGCGTGTTGAGTCCAGCGTTGATGACCCGGAGTAGCACCGTCGTGTTGGGCTGCACGTCCACCGTGAACGTGTCATCTACGAACCAATTTTTTACAGAGTTATTTCTTCGATTTGAGCAGAGGATTTACATTTTTCGCCTGCAGTAAATTAAACTGTGTCATTCCATCAGGATTTACCAAATGACGTACGTACTTGCGCATTGGTAGAGCTCGCCGGTAACACCATTAACGGTGAACGCGTCGGATTCTCTGGGAAGCTGGCCAGATGAGACGGCGTCGCTCTCGATGTCGACGACATTCCGGCTCCACCATTCCCCTGTGTCCACCAAGGCCTCATCCAGAATCAAGATATGCCCAATTTCCGTATCAATGCATAGTACGACAGCTAGGAGATTCGGCGGCTACCAAGCACGATGGGGACCTCTTGGTCCGGCGCGGGGAAGGGATAGGCGGAGCCGTTTCTTGGCCGGATGATGAGAGCGCCGTACACGGTGGCGCGCAGGAAGGAGGAGTGGGCGTGCCACCACAGCGTGCCTTCTTGTCCGGTGACGTTGAACCTGTACGTGTACGAGCTGTTCGGCTGGATAGGGCACTGCGTGACCATGCTCGGGCCGTCCGCCCATGGCGTCAGTAGCTGGAGTATGCCATGCCTGTAAAATTTTCCACCAGCAGCAGTCACACGTGCAGGGGTTAGACCCAACTCTGCTTATGCCAAATGGTTAGGTTAAGTGTACCGAACTAAATTGAGCTAAAAAAAAAAGTGCACTGAATTGCTGCACTACTCCCTCTATCTCAAAATATAAGCATTTTTAGCATAGTGCCAAATCAAATATTTGCAATCTTAACTATTAATAGAAAAAATATAAAAAAGATTAAAATTGATGTTATTAGATTTATTATTAAACAAACTATCACAATATGCAACTTTTTTTATTTAAAACATACTATATATTGTTGGTCAAAATAGCATCTCGAAGACTGTGTTGAAGTCCAAAAATATTTATATTTTGGGATGGAGGGAATACTACTTTTATTTTCAAGAGCAACACAAGCAGCCTGACAATCAACTCCTAGTAGCATGCGAAATGCAGAAAGTCTTTGCACTTATTACTTTATCAGCGGCATACTCCCTCCGTACTCGTAAACGAAGTCGATTTGGACAGCGACACGGTCTCCAATATATAACTTTGACTTCTTGTTTCTATAAAAATATTTATTTAAAAGTGATATATGTATACTTTTATGAAAGTATTTTTCAAGACAAATCTATTCATATGATTTTTACATTTTCAAATTCAACAACTTGAGAGTTATTCATGATTTTTTTTCTAAGGTTTGACTTAAACATTATCCTAAACGACTTTCTTTACAAGTACGTAGGAAGTATCTTTCATGACATCCAATTCGGGAAAATTTATAAAAAAGATTTAACATCAAAGGTCATGTTGTCAGCCAAATTTATTATTTTTCTCCTTCCCCATTCTATAAATAATACGCACGCTTCCTAAACTCCTAAATGTTATGTGTCTGCAAAAGAACTTCAAATATATTAATTTATTAAGATATTATTTTAAATCCACTTACCAACTTTATGATATTTAATTTGTTCATTTGTATCCTCTGATAATTATTAAAAGAAACAATCAGCTATTCAGTAATTCAACCATTCAGCGCAAAAGGGGGATTTTATGAGACAATAGATTAGTATCATGACAATGTTGTAAAATATTTTTAGAATTTTTTGTTGCTATAAGATTGATATCTAGGAAGAAACATACCCTTATGGTCTTTAACAGTCACAGTCACATATTCACATATCTTTCTTGCAAGTGATTTTCAAGGCAACTCATTGGACAAGGTTTTGGTTTTTGTTTCTTAAAGAAGACGATAAAATGGAAGTTCAAGTCAAATGAAGTTTTCTGGATAAGAGAGTAATAGAGTTCTTTTCTACCTTTGGTTGGAATTTTAGTAGAAGAATTGAGGCTTAGACTGATGTTATTCTTTTAACTATTTTGTTAAACTATTATTTGGTATCCCCATGTAGTGGGTGGAGTCTTATGTACTTTTAATTGCGGTTTAGGCTGTGTATAACTTTCTAAGGTGTAGAGGCCTGGTTAATATAATCCATTATAAAAAAAATCACCTTTCTTTTCAGAAAACATTTGTAGTTTGCATTGGTGCAGTTGAGGGTATATTGCTCCGTATCTCTACTTACGATGGTTTAAATTCTAGCATTTTTTTTAACGACTCGCACAAAACGGTGCGAAGTTCTATTGATAGAGCAGGAAATATATCCTAGCATCTTTAAGTAAGAAATTTTTGAGGATAATACTTTGTCTCTAATATGTAAAGTGAACGTTTTCTTATATGTGTGGTGTATGAACACTTGTATCTCCAGTATAATTGAAACATGACTTTTTTTCCTATGCTTTATTTTAAACTTGTAACAGTTATCAGCTGTACAACACTTGGCAAATAGTAAGATGAGCTTTCGTACATTTAACGGCTTAATTGGCATCGTCAGGTAGGGTGTCCTTTTCAGGACTTTCACTTTCGGCTCTAATCATATATTCATATATAGATATGCTCAAGAGTTCGGGTAGGAACTACTAATCACTCGTACTTATCAAAGGACCAGCTAGCCCCCGAATCTAAATAACTAGCCCGATTGCAGGACTCTCACGCCATCCCACATGCTACTACAAAGACGACTTGACGTTACTGCTTAAAATGAAGAAAAGGTTACAGCAACTTGATTACCGGAAGTTTCTGAGGCACAAGGATTAGTGACGTACCAGTGTATGGTTAAGTTATATGGTGATCCGTTGATGACCTCGACAGCAACTGCGTCACCTTCATTCACTTCTATCATTGGGCCTGGCAGTAGGCCGTTCACCGCAATAATGTCAGTGCTGTTGCATAGCCGACTGACTCGCATGCTTTCCACCTATGTGATTGCAAACAAATGTGGCATCAGTCTTATATACAGACAACCGAACTCTTCTCATACTACTACTGAAGAAATTAAGGAAAAACCAACAAATTGTATACAGTTTCAGGTTTATGAATTCTCATGCTTTCCACACACAAGTTGATCAATAACTCTAGCTTGCAGGTATAGCAAGTATCTAAGTTCTTGTTGCTGTACAAAGCTTCTTGAAATCAATGACATGAACGAATACAACTACATGTATGCAGAGAGATGAGATGATGATGATGATGATGATGATGATGATGATGATGATGAGAGAGAGAGAGAGAGAGAGAGAGGGTACAGTGAAAGTGTAGTTCGCAGTTGCAGCATCTGCCACCGATCTGGCAAGAAGAAGCGCGAACAAGAACCACAAAAGCCGCATCATGGACGAACACCAAGGTATAACCATCTAAGAGGATTCAGGAGCGCCAGAGAAGGATAGGCAAATCCTTATTGGTGATCTTGGCCAACTTGTATATAGCAAAGTCTTCAGAGAAACACGATAAGTATATATACTATGGAATGCTTTTGGCACTTCCCCGAGAATCACTTGCGTAGGGCAATGGCACATTTGTCTATTTTTTTCTCCGATTGCGACATAAAGCTTCTAGCGATATCACACGCTCATAATCTAGGTGTTGCTGACCCCTAATTATTTATGTGGCCTGATAAAATGATAGAGAAAGCAATGCCACTCGTCAATTGCTAGCTTGTTCACTGCTATCTTTGATTGCAGTATCAAATTCACGGTCTATCAACCTGAACATTGTCAATTCCTCTTTCTTGGCTAGCATTACCGCCACGTCCACAAAAAATGCCGTTTTCATCATAATCAATCAGGAGTTTTACTATTGGACACACTAGGTATATAGTTTTCTGACGAATTATGAGGCCAACGTATAAGCTAAACGTGTAACAGGAAAAAACTGGCTGAGAAAACATTAGAACTAATCCCATGTCTCAAAGTGTCCTTATATTACTCCCCCATCTGGATCAATAAAAGCAGCTCTCATAATAGCTGAGGTGTACCAAAAGTACCCTGAACCAAGCATTCCTTGTCAGTGGTTTGAATATCGGATCAGGAGAAGCTAATTAGGACAACAATCTACTCATTAGTCTATCATGTCACGGATTTGGGCCCAAGCAATAATATTCTATACAAATTCTGCCCAATGAATTAAGCAACGAATTCTTCTGATATAGTGAAGTAATGCACAGGATGGATGCATAACCGGACAAACAGCATTCTCTAGATAACCAATACAGCGTGCATATGTTGATAAAGATGACACGAAAACGGAAAATGACCTGGGATCATGTGGTAGTTGATCATGGAGGTCTATCTTGACGAGATAACGTTATGATGTTTATACATACGGCTATACGGTGTAGAGCTCAGGAAAAAAAAAACAAAACAACACTCGGAGTCTATCTTGTGGAGACCTTGTTTTCCCTTTGCATGAATGCCAGGGAACATCCAGAAGTACCATCTCCGAATAAACGATTAAGTTCTGAAGGCATGGACACGATGGAGACCTCTCACCTAACTGCAGGATGTGCGCAGGGTCAGCATGGTTGCCAGAAGCCCAGAACCATGCGGAAAGCAAATTGAATTTGCTCGTCTGAAACATGCACGCAGTTCATCAGATATGCAGGGAGCGATTGTTTTAGCAAGGGGTATGCATGGGTAATTCAGTGAATTTTGCTTTTGTGAAAGAAATCAGGAGCACTTCCGAATTCCATGGAAGTGGGAAATGATCTGCAAAAAGCTTTACATAGATACAAGATCACAAGGCACAAGCTCTTCAGTGATTCATTATCTAAAAAAATTTCTTCACTGATTGTGTTCCTAGGAAAAATCACGTACATGAATTTCTGCTTTTCTTGTGATTTGTTGTTATTTACTCTTTGATTCTGACCCCTCTTATTTACATGTTAACGTGCAGAACTGCAGAATCCAGGAACGATCAAATATCAACACAGAAAAGAAGGTAAAACTCTACGGATAAAATACACTTGCAATCAATCGGAATCGAATTGTCGAAACAATGTATCTCTTCAAAGATTACCAAGATGTGTATGGAACTTAATTGTCATCTCCCTGTCGTCCGAAGCATTTTACATCATGATGGCAGCCCATCTTTCACCGGATCGAAGAAGGCCAGAACTGAACTTTCAGAGAGCAACCTTAGCAGCTAGTAGCTGCCAGCTAGCATTGCGGCAAGTCGGGGGGCGGCGGCGGCAGCGTCGTCCCCGGCGTCGGCCCGCTCTCCACCTCGAACACCATTGCCAAGCCAATGGCGAAGTGAGAATCGATATGGCAGTGCATGGCCCACATTCCTGCAAGCAGAAAAAGTTTCCAACTAATCAGAACATGCGTTCTTTACTCTGTTTATCCCCTTGCAAACCGCAACAAGATAAGCTTCTTGACAGTGCAAACTATATCAAGCTGATAAGATTCTTGAGATGACAGAAGCATAATGGTTAGTGACTTAGTTGGCTTCTTATAAAAGGAGAAGATAAACCGTGAGTCCGTGATTGCGTATCCTACACACCATCAGTACGTCAGCGCCGAGCGCTTCAGCATCGGAACTTCTGGGGAAATTTAACTATTTGCCACTTTTGGGATATAGCAATTAACAATTTGTCACTCACTATCTATGACATGTAGATCTAGTGGCAAATCGTTAAGCACGCCCCGAAGTTCCCCGCAAAAAAAAAAGCCCCGAAGTTCTGAACGGGCCAGATTACTTGACATTATCTATATTTCGGCCTGACAAGACTGGGCTGAAAACGGCCCATATAGGCCCAACATAATATGCACGGATGCAAAACAGCCCAAAGCTTCAACTTTGTGCGAACTCAAACCGGTGTTGGTCTCTTTTAGGCCCAATTTGGAGGGGCCCAAATCCCAATTAAACTTTACCTGTTTACTGCAGCCGTAAACGTTCATATACGAAGTTGATTACAGATGACTACTGTACCTGGGTTATCGGCGACGAAGCGGATGACTGCCCACCCACCGGTCGGCACGGCGACGGTGTTCCGCTCCTGCGGGTTGACGAGGTTGAACTCACCTGCTCCAGCCGCTTCGCCGTCGTTGTTGCCGAACCCCTGCGCCACCACGAAGAAGTTGAACCCGTGCAGGTGCATCGGGTGGCTCTCGAGTCCCACCAGCGCGGTGTTCTGGAGCACCATCTCCACCGTCGCGTTGTACCTGAGCGTCTTCACCTTCGTCGACGGGCTCCCCGTGGATGCCAGAGGCGAGTTACCGAGCAACCCGCGGCTAGTGTAGTCGAACGCGACGGGCGGCTGGTCGGGGAAGTCCCTGGTGTACACGCCGTCCGCCGTGTTCCGGTACAGCGCCTCAAGCATGGAGACGGTGTTCGGGAGAGCGAATGACACGTTGTTCATGTTCGCCAAGACCACCGGGGCGCTCCTGTTGCACTGCGTCTGTTCGGGCTGGCAGGAGGAGAAGCCGAGCCCGACGGTGACGAGCATGCGGGTGTCCACGGTGAGCGGCACGGTCCGCCTGCCGGGGCGGATGAGCGCCGTCAAGCTGGTGTAGAACTGGTTAGCCGTGTACGTGTCGTTCGGTTTTGGCATGACGGGTAGCACAGGGGAGCCAGCATCGGTCGTTGCCGTCGCGTCGACGTACTCCACGATGGCTGTGCTGGTGTTGCCATTGAACCCCGCGGGACGCGGCGGGAAGGGGATCGCGCTCTGGTAGGAGGAGATCGCCATGTGGTAGCAGCCGGGGGAGGCGTCGGCCGCCATGAGCGCGTCGACGGTCTGCCCCGGCGCGATCACGATCACGTCGGTCGCGTACGGCTCCGTGTAGCTCGCGTCCGCCGCGACGACGGTGAACGTGTGCCCCGCCACCTTGAAGAAGAACGCCGTGTTGAGCGCAGCGTTGATGATCCGGAGCAAGTAGGTCTTGTCGCGGCGCACCTCGAACTTGGCAATTCCTGCACAAGAACGTACTTGATTGTTGCAGAACATAATCGTCACACATATGCGCGCGTGATACTAACTCGAACGTACGGTTAGTCGTCTCTGGACAGAGGTACGAATCTCCCGGCATTCCGTTGATGGTGTACGCGTCGGCGTTCGGCGCCGGTATGCCGGTCGAGAAGGACTGGCTCTCCAGGGCGACGGGGTCGCCGTTCCACCACTCCCCCAGCAAGACGGTCTTCTCCTCGTATGGCGTCGGGAACGGGTAGCCACCGGCGCGCCTCGGCCGGATGACGAGGGCGCCGTACACCGTGGCTCGCATGTACGAGCTGTGCGCGTGCCACCACAGGGTGCCCTCCTGCCCGGCCACGGCGAACCTGTACGTGTACCGGTGGCCCGGCCGGATGGGGCACTGCGTCACCATCGCCGGCCCGTCCGCCCACGGCGTGCCGCGCTGGAACACGCCATGCCTGCACGTACGCACCGTTCGCCGCGCCGTTTGTTAGTTTGTCACACATCGGGCGGCGAGGAGTAGGTGAGATACATGTACCAGTGGACTGTCACGTTGTATGGCGAGTCGTTGATGACGTGAATCACCACGGTGTCGCCTTCGCGGGCTTCGACTTGGGGACCGGGCACTCGTCCGTTTACGGCGGTGACGCTCGTATTCCCTGGCTGACATATACGGGGAAGAGATAGTGTAGCGACCTGACAAAAATCATATAGAAACAATATCATGAGCATGACTGTTAAGACTGGGGTTTAGTACCATAGGCAAGACTTGAGAATTGACAGAGAAATAATGGGTTTCTAGTGTGTGGTACGAGAATATTAGATATGAGGTGGCAAGCTGCCAAGCTGACAATTTTCTTGGACGCTCGCATACAACCGCGCTACCCGCTTGTCGAGAAAGTTTAAATCTTCTCTCTCATTTAGGACATATTCGAGCAAACTTTTGAAATTGTGATCATCAACTTTGAATTAGAAAGTTTAAACCACGTAAAGTCGTTATATTTTGGGACGGAATTATAGTAAGTTTGTGCTATCTTTGTAGTACTTTTCAAGGTAAACTCCACATTTTTTACAACTAAGCATTTTAGAAGATATTGATTGTAAAAGTTTTGAAAGTTTAATTAAATCTAATTTTAAACATAAAATATTATTGATCAGAGGTAGTAATCATGGTTCCCCTTACCGTTTTTGGCGCAGTTACTGCACTCCCGCGGTAAGGCGGTTACCGCGTGAAAACCGCGTGATAATCGCGAGACATACCGTGGTTTCAAAAACTGAAAAGGTTACCGTGCATGGTAACCGCACGGTTTTAAAAACCCTGGTAGTAATAAATATTAGTTGTAGAAATTTTGTTTTGGCAACTTGTGGTGTGATGTCATCTACTAGCTGTTACTCCCTCCGTCTCAAAATATAATAACTTTTAGCTCTCAGGATTTGTCCCAAAATATAACAACTTCTCCACTAACATTCTTTTCCTAACTAATCACAACCCTCCATCATTCATTTTCCCCACCTACCTTCACTACTCATTCAATCACAACCCTCCACCACTCACTTCTACTTACTTTCTTAATAACTGTTTCCAACCCTAAAACTTCTTCTTACATTCTGGGACTGAGGGAGTACAAAATATCAGATGTTATTGAAAAATGTATCTTAATATTAAAAAAGATGCTAGAAAAATAATTCCAAAATATATAAAAAAGGAAAATATGATCACTTAAACTTATCACTTGTCTTTGTTGCTTCTCCTTGATACATTACTTGATTAAATATTTTTTCCATATATTTGTTATTAAACCGACTATAAAACAATTACACGTTCGTGACGTTCCTTGGTTGTGCAAACTTTCTCCTTTTTTTCCCGACTACATAGAAGATACACACGTCACTACACTAAGTATGTACATGAGTACATGACATGCACACACTTGTGAGTGCACCTGCTAACACAAGCTCTGAGGGATGGATGCCAACTACAAACCCTTATACGTATTAAATTCCTATTAAAAATATACTCGTGTGTGTAATAGTTTTCATGGCACTATTTTTTTGTTGTGCAAAGGACAAATGAACAATTCAATGCGGATTTTGTTTGTAGAGAGAGAGAGAGAATGATTACATTGAAGGTATGCTCCACGACGTCAGCTTGGGCCGCGGATGCAACAAAAGCCAGAATAGCGAACACTGGGATCATCCAAGAACACGACATGCCGTATGTTTGATTCCAAGGCCAAAGCTAGCTAGCAACTCTCAATGATATGGTGAACAGAAAAATTGATCTGGACCTTACTCAAAATCTGAAAAAAGGACTTTTTTTTTTTTTTGGGGGGGGGGGGACCAGAAATAACACTTACCAGCAGTGATTGTCGAAGTTAAGGGGATGACAAAATGCAGCCGGAATGCCGCTATATATATAGCTGCCCGATGCCCCTGGTTGACTTGATCAATCAAGTATTGGGGTGAATAATGCTGACTTGCGTGTCATTTTGTTAGTTCAACTGCAACTTGTTGAATCCTTCTCATGGAACATGAAGTTTATGGATGCTTATTGCAGAGTACTTCCTATTTATTATCAGTTAGAACGGTTTCCCAAGTCAAGGCTCAGATATAGACTGACTCATATTGTTTACTTTTCACTGATCAAAATTTAAAAAGAAAAGGTTTAAAAGTATAACTTATGTGTTTTAGTTATGGCTTTAACAACTAACTAGGATCATACATATCCAAATGATGACCATAGCATTATATTTTTACAATTTCTATCAACTACTCTGCTAACAACTTCCTAGACATGGACCTGGGCTTATTGTAACGACTGATACCTTGTTTGCTGAGAGTAGAATAACTCAAAACAAAAGGAATTTTCAATGATTGATGGCTGGCCATATATCAAGGTCTCCAGCGTACCTTTACTAGAAACTAGGAATAGCTTGTATGCTTGGGCATCTGATTCAAGTTCTATCTAGAAGAACTTCTTTTTAGAGCGACTTTTTAATTTTTATCCATACTACATTTCTTCTGTACTCATCACGACTTATATTTTATTTTAATTGAACAGTATTTACTAACCTTACAGTGGAAGTTACAGTTTTGCTTTCAAGGAGGAACCCACTTCGAAGTTCAAAAGAGGACTACTAATTGACATGCGAAATAGACAAAACAAAACAAGACAAAGTTTATTGAAAATTTATATATTTATGCAGTGATTGCTACTACCCTTGAAACTTTACAGCTAGTACGTGATGTTGAGAGAATACAAGACATTTCTACAGAATACCAACTACAGAGTCTGATTTCTAACCCCTTGCCGACTGGTCAAGACTAGGTGAAGCAACCATTCAGCCACCTAGTGGATTTTTCCTATATGCTGTAAATATTTATCAAATAATATTTGCACGCGTTCAGTTTAAACAAGCACCAGGAGCTCATTTGTGTTCGCTGTCACTTGCAAGTTGCAGAGCTAGTTTGAGCTAGACTAGAGTCTCGACTTGAATTCTCTTCAGAAGTTTCTTCAGGAATTTATATAAGCAATTTTTGCATGAGACATTTACAAACAATGTATTGTTTTTATTTTTTTTCTTTTAACTCTGTATGTATTGTTGATTACTACTCCCTCCGTTCAGGTTATAAGACGTTTTGACTTTAGTCAAAGTCAAACTGCTTTAAGTTTGATCAAGTTTGTAGAAAAAAGTAGTAACATTTTCAACCCAAGACAAATTTATTATGAAAATATATTCAATTATTGATTTGATAAAACTAATTTAATATTATAAATATTACTATATTTGTCTATAAACTTAGTCAAACTTGAAACAATTTAATTTTGACCAAAGTCAAAATGTTTTATAACTTGAAATGGAGAGAGTACTTCACATGATTTATTCTTTATCGTAATCTTATTTTTATTCTTTTAAGATAACAATTCGGTCTTTACTTTAGAGAAGCTTTAGTCACCTATTACAATGTTTTAGTCTAGACAACTCCAAGTTATATATAGCAGACAACCGACAGGATAGCAAAAGGACACACCACCATATAAACAGAGATATTACAATCTCCATATATATTTTTTTTAGAGAATGGTATTTTTTACCCGGCCTCTACATCCAATCGGATATATACGGCCATTGAAGTAGGGAACTTAGCCCCGCAAACAACCCAATCTGAAATTCGCTCCATAAGAGATTTGAACCAAACAACCCAATCTGAAATTCGCTCCATAAGAGATTTGAACTCAGGACCTTGGGGTACTACTCAGGTCACTGTAACCACTAGGCTAAATCTCTATATATGGTTGGCAAATATCTCTATGATCGTTTCTCTAAGCTTTGACATGCTTGTTGCATAAACTTCTTGTCATTGTCACACCTTTTTAGCATAACTCAATATCGAAGCCAACGAATTTTTTTGAGAATTAATATTATTTTTATGGAAAATCGCAAAAGTAGTGGTCAACCGGGGAAAATCGCGAAAATAGGTCCCTGTCGAACGGGTGCAGTTCGATAGGGCGCCTATCGAACGGCCAGAGCGCGACTGGCGACGAGATCGGAAGGCTGCCGTTCAACAGGACCTGTCGAACAGCCCCCGTTCGACAGGCAGGGCTGTCGAACAGCCCCCGTTCGACAGGCTGGGCTGTCGAACTGCCGCAGTTCGACAGGATGTCCGTCGAACTGCCGCAGTTCGACAGGGTCGCGTTCTCCATTTATTTGTAATAAGTTATTTTTTTAATAATATGTAATTTATTTTAGTGTGTAAGAAAGGAAAATATTTTTGTAATGTTATATGTATGTGATTTAGGGTTTTGATAATGTTTGGTCAGAAATTGTAGTATTTATTTGTTGGTTAAAATATTTGAATTATTTAGTTTCATTATTTGTATATTTGAATGATAATTTGTCATGATTCATTCGAAGGGTATGCTACTGAGTAATTATCCGAAGAAGTTTATGAAATAGTACTGATAGTACTAAGTTAATCGTAAAGTGTTTCTCAAATAGTACGGACAGAACATAAATGACTAAAAGTTTAATACAAATAGATAAGTCAAGGACGATAAGTGCCCTTCGCACGCTTGCTAGGTCCTCCCTTCTTCCTACGCCTAATCTGCTCAGTGGGATATGTCAAATTATCAGGGGGGTGCCTATCTCTAGCTGCCTGCTGTGGTGTCACGTCTGGCCCCTGACCGGCCTCCGTCTCCTGCGTCGGCTGTGTGACCTGAGGTGCTGCGTGCCAGTAATCCATCCCTACTTCCCCCTGGGGAGGATCAGTGGAAAAGAAGTCCTCAATGAATGCTGTGCGAGGGGAGTAAGCAGGCACTCCGTGATGCGTCGACGCCGAACCATACTCATCGTCTGTTTGTACAAGAGGGAGAAACCAAAAAATATGGCGTAGTTAGTAACGATACATATAATTAGAAACTAAAGCGTGTTATTGTTTAAAATGACTTACATGTGTGCTGTGTGTGGCCCTGCTCTGGCGCACGCGGAGTGATATGAAGTCCCCATGCTGGTGTGTTCAACACGTTGTCCCCCGTTGGCATGTAAGGGAAGTGTGCCGACCCAGATGCTCCCTGCGAGGGGTGAACATAAGGCGGAGTTTGGAATACCTGCGGACGTGGTGGTGCCGTGCTCGACGTGGGTACCCCTGATCCGGCTGACCCCCTGGTGTACTCCGGTGCTGGGGTGTGCTGAAAGGAAGGACGACCGTGAGATGTGTGGGCTGCTTCGTACCCGCGACGTGAAGAGGATGGACCACTCCGATCCACGCTGGAACGTCGGGGTAGTGGTGGTGATGGCCGTCGGCCCGACGTTTGCACCACATCTGCCGCGCTCCGACAGGAGACACGACGTAGTAGTGCGGCAGCACGTGCACGGAAGTTGCGAAGGACACTCGCCACGTCGTCAGACCTGACGACTGGAGGTCTCGCCTCTAGTCTTTGCAGCAGGGTGTCGGACTCCACGTGAACGTGCTCAACAAATTCCGCCTGTTCCACAAATAATCAAGGCAATTAAAATTATTTAACCAGTTGCACATTTATTAAGAGTATTTAACAAGATGCACATTTGTTAGAAATAATGAACTAGTTGCACATCATTTATAAATACTGAACTAGTTCCACATTTATGTAAGAAAAGGAACTAGGTGAACCAATTGCACATTTATTAGACATACTGAACTACTTGCTAACTTTTTAAAAATATTGAACTAGTTGCTCAAATTCCACAAATAAACACGTACCATTGAGTTGTAAGCTGATCTAGGCTGAGGGGCAAACGTGTCAGTAATCGCTGCCTGGTGGGGGACGGTGCTATCTCCTTGTGGAGGAAAACACCTCCATCGTGTAACACTGCGGTACCAACGAAGGTAAGCTCCATAATAACTCCCATCGTCTGGAGGTGTCTGAAGTGCCAAGTTATCAGCTGCGTGCTCCCACTCTTGTACCGTCGGGTTTGCTGAGGTTCAGACTAGCCATGGAATACCTTTTACAGAGATACTTCTGTGTACCCCTCGTGATGCCCTCCAGGATAGCAACAAGTGGTAGAGGTCGTGTATTCTTCATAACCCAATTATACACTTCAGCAAGATTTGTTGTCATCACACCATACCTCGATCCATCTGTATCGTACAACAACGACCATTTCTCCCTTGGCTCAAATTCTACCCACTCCGTGAAGCACTTCGTGGCCCGTCCACGTTTCCTGCGCCGAGTAATACTTGGTGCTTCATTAGGAATGGGTTCAAGTCCCTCCGGCTCCTCCTGTCTGGCAACTATGGGTTTTTTCCTAACCTCTTCCATGTGTATAGTGGTCAAACGATCCAGTTGCTCCCATATGGCATCAAACTTTCTTTGTTGATTCTGCTTGCATAACTTCTTGAACAGGTCCATCAATCTCTTACTCCTGAATTGTCTATAAAAATTAGCCCCAAAATGTCGCATGCACCATCTGCTATGTAAATCTGGCCATGGCACGGACTGTGTGACATCTTCTTGAAGCTTCTGTATCGCTGATAGCAAACCGGCGTGTCGGTCATGCAGAACACACACATTTTGTCTGTTTTCAACAACACACATTTTAATGTGCCGCAAAAACCATAGCCAGCTTGATGTGTTCTCGCTTTCAACAAATGCAAAAGCAACAGGAACGACATGGCTATCCGCGTCGACTCCGATCGCGGTTAGAATTGTTCCTCTGTACTTGCCTGTCATGAAAGTGCCATCAACACAGAGCAAAGGAATGCAATTTTTAAAGGCCTCTATCATGCACCCAAATGACCAGAAAGCCCGACGAAGAACATTCTCCCCATATTCATTCACCTCATCGAGAATAGCCATGTGTGTGCCCGGGTTTCTTGCCTGCATCACCTCCAATAGTGGGGGAAGATTGTGATAAGAATCCTCATAAGTTCCAAACCTCATCTCCAATGCTTTCTGTTTTGCCCTCCAAGCCTTGTCGTACGATATCTCATATCCGTACTCTTTCTCAACGTCATGCATTATGGTGAAAGGGGACAAAGATGTTTTTCTAACCACCTTTGAATATACCATTTGTGCCACAAATGCCGCTGTCAGGTTTCTGTGCACCAGATGGGTATTCTCCAACAAACACGTATGTTGCTCAACCCTCGAAGCTACCCATAAAGTGTCATGTTGTGGCTTGTAACCATGCACTCTCCAAGGACATCCACCCTGTATGCACTTCACGTCATACGTCGTCCTATTTGAAACCTTCACCCTGAACTCACGCTTCTGGACAAATGCCCACCTCTTCACCGCATCTTGTAAGTGACCTTTGTCATGAAACATCTGTCCAACTTTCACCTGCTTACTATCATAACACCAGTGGGCATCTAAACCATCGTTTACCTTCATACGACTCATTGATATGGTCGTCCAATTATCGGGTATGTAAGTTTCGTTGTCCCACAGTGTTGTATCTTCTCCTTCCACTACAAGCGCAATGTATTCCTCGTTTTCCACTTCCATCTGATCCACTACCGCCTCATTCTCCTCCGCTGCATCAACACGCATAGGCGAATCCGGTTCTTCATCGTCCGAGTCGTTGGCCTCACGATTAGTACCACAAACAATGACCTCTCCTTGTGTATTACCCTCTACTACTTCTTCCCCTCGACCTTGCTCAGTCCGCCAAACATTTTCAGCTTGTCCACCTTCCAACGGAGTTTCTTCCACCACGGCATGACTTGACTCCCCCGATCGATCAACACATTTTGTCTTCTGCACCACTATTGCCAGGCTATAGCCTTTCTCCCTTACTTTACTAACAAACTTCCTCCAACTCCCAGTTGACGCAACCTCCACTACTCTCCACTGCCATCCATGTTGACCCCTCACTGGCCACACGGCATTTATGACAAATTTATCGTGCACTGGATCTACCCCAAACATATTATACAACCACCCTAACACGTCGTTCAAACCCATATGCTCCGGTGCATTCAGACTAGTATCATGGAAGGCATATACAGTCAAATCCACCCCGCTATCACATATTTGTATAGGAGCATCGCCATAATACAGACGAATGGGCATATCACCTGACATCCTGATAAAACATGATAAATAGTCTCACGTTTAATCATTTAATCATTCGATAATTACCCTATTACAACTTATACTACATTGCCGTGTACTAATTTACAACTATTAGTAACAAACAACTAGTTTAATAATCCAAATAAAATATAACACCTTTGTACATATTTTAACACACAACATATCAATAATATGTACTAACTAAGAACTAATTTAACCGTACAATTACTTAAATACCTCTACCAACATTTAGCAATAACAAATATGTGCTAACCATACATACTAACATCGAACAATGCGAAACAATTAACAACTCTTAAACCAATTTTTTATTAAACTTTCATATGCATTGTACTTAGGGATTACTAATGTATACCTTAACTTCACTGCTGGAGGGCGTCGCCAACCCTTTCCTCCCGGCCGGCGCCTCCTCTCCGGCCTGCTATCCCCTCCCCTCGCTCCCTCCGGCGCTCACGGCGACGATGTGGCGACTCTCGACGGCGGCTGGCGATGTGGTCCTCAAATAAATCGAACAAGCATCGCGGGCTGGGGAGACGGGGCTTTAAACCGGCCTGTCGAACGCCCATTGTTCGACAGGGTCGGTGGAGGGACCTGTCGAACGCCCCCGGTTCGACAGGCCTGGCGGCGCGGGGTGGTGGGCCCTGTCGAACTCCCTCCGTTCGACAGGCGAGCGTGTCGAACGCCAGCCGTTCGACAGGGCTCTGTCGACTGTCCGTCGTTCGATAGGTGCCCTATCGAATTGCACCCGTTCGACAGGGACCTACTTTCGCGATTTTCCCCGGTTGGCCACTACTTTTGCGATTTTCCATAAAAATAATATTAATCCTCAAAAAAATTCGAAGCCAACAAGTTGTTATCAGGAAATCCATTTCATCAAGTACTTGTGATCAGGAAATCCATTTCCAGCATGAATGCATATTTGCATAACTCTGTAGTATCATTTTTTGTCCAGACAGGAATATACATATAGCGCAAAAGATTGTAGGAACCAAATCGTTGCTCACTCCTTCGTTATTGTTTTTGTATTAGTCACAGATGAGACCAACAAGGCACACAAAGAAAATACACCACTTGCATGTTGTCTACTGCGTCTAATTTTACTCCACTTGACAGTGAAAACAATAGTTTTGATTGTGAATGTCTGGTTGTACATGGACAAATTGATCTGGGGAACAAACAAGAGCGTGGGATGGGCAGAGTGACGGTGAAACATGCAGTTTTATTCGCCTAGCTAGTTTAGTCAGGTTACTATTGTCAAGATTTGGTACAGGAAAGCAACGGCGCCATGCAGCCATCACCTCACGCACGTATACCTGCCCAAGTCTTTACATACCGAGTAGATTCACCTATTTGCTGTCCCGGCCGGTGTGTCAGTGTGTGGCAAAGAACAACACTACTATTTGCTACGAACATCTTTATCAACCCAGCCATATGTATAGGCCATATGCCAATTTTTTCTTTTTTGGGGGACAAGTTGATCCAACAACGGCTTGAAAACGATTTCTTTTAATTTTGAGGGAGGAAACGGTTTCTTATTTTTCTGAGAGTTGAAAAATGAAAAACGCCCACGCTACATGAATGGGAGAAGTAGTCAACACTAGAATCAAATATGTTCATACTATTTTTTAACTGAACAGCCATAGTTTAACATTAACCCAAAATATAGCTTCACACGCTGTAGTACACCAAATAGTCATGAGGTTTGGTTTATATCGGATAGATAAAACATAAAAAATATATAAATAAATATAAACAACACTAAACAAGATCATGGAAGATGCAATACTTTAAATGATCATCAAGTGCAATATACGAATTGGCTGTGTGCATCCGTCTCAGGATGTAGAGGCCGGTTCTCCCATTATCTTAAAAAAAAAATGCAATATACAAAAGATTATTCCGATGATTAAAAAAGCATATGATTAATTGTTAAAGAAACAAAAATATTCCTCATTTTTTTCTAATTAAGATGCAAATTTTACCTTGGTTTTTGTCACTCCCTTCATTTCAGGTTATAAGACGTTTTAACTTTGGTCAAAGTCAAACTGCTTTAAGTTTGACCAGGTTTGTAGAAAAAAGTAATAACATTTTTAATCCAAGACAAATTTATTATGAAAATATATTCAATTATTGATTTGATGCCACTAATTCAGTATTCTAAATATTATTATATTTGTTTATAAATTTAGTCAAACTTAAAATAATTTATCTTTGACCAAAGTCAAAACGTCTTACAACCCGAAACAGAGGGAGTAGTATGCTTTTCAAACCGCTAAATGGTACATTTCATGCAAAAATTTTCTATATATAAGCTGCTTTAAAATATCATATAAATCTATTTCAAATTTAAAATAATTGTACTTAATTTTTCATATTCATCAAATTAAATGGCTGGTACCGTGGTACGCCGTTTTCCACAACGCTGCAAATCTGCAATGGATTGCCTGAGACCTCGTTTGGATGGGCTGAAATCCTGGTCCATCTAAAGGGACCTCGATGGGCTCCAAAAAGCCCATTTAATAATCGAAGGGCCGAGAGGCCCACGCGAAGATGACTGACAATATGGGACCCGGAAGTCAGTCAACGGAGGATAGAAAATGAAAGGGCACGTCTCCGGAACACTCGCCACAACGAACGAACTAGCACCAACCCCACAGCACCAGCCACCACCATGTCGTCCGAAACCGCCGCTTCGCCGCCGCCGCCGCCGCCGAATCCACCGGCCGCCGACTCCACCCATTCCAGCCCCGCCTCCATGACCGACGAGACGCACGGCGCAGGAGCCCATCCCGACGAGTCCCAACCGCATCGCTCCTCATCGTCGTCCTCCTCCCCTCCCGTGGCCGTCGACGGCGAGACGCGCGTCCCACTCCCAGTCCGGTCCCTGCCCCAACCTAGCCACCCATCGCCGCCTCCTTCGGGGGAGGACGAGGATGACGTCGTCATCACCGGCCAAATCGCAGTGGGTGACGCCGCGGGGGCGGCGATGGAGGAGCGGGTGAAGGGGCCCTGGTCCTCGGATGAGGACACGCTGCTGAGCAATCTGGTGGAGAAACTCGGGCCGAGGAACTGGACGCTGATAGCGCGCGGGATACCCGGGCGCTCCGGCAAGTCCTGCCGCCTCCGCTGGTGTAACCAACTCGACCCCCAAGTCAAGCGCAAGCCCTTCACTGGTACAATCTGCCTTTCATCCAGTAGTATCTGTATCCTATAGGATACGTGATGTTAACCTTAATCCAAAGAGTATTTGTCTTGTCTATGAGGCAATGCTAGTTTGGTTGTAGCATTATGGGCATGAACATTGCGCGTTCAGTCTGTTGTGTAGTTTCGTTGCATCTCTGTAAAACTTGCTTGTTAAATTATTATTGCTGTTTCTGCAGAGGAGGAAGACCGCATTATAATGGCTGCTCATGCAATCCATGGAAACAAGTGGGCGGCTATTGCAAAGCTTTTGGTTGGGAGAACCGATAATGCAATCAAGAATCACTGGAACTCTACCCTGAGGCGTCGGCACTGCACTGGTGGCCGATGCACACAAGGTGGTGTTATGAAGAGAGCTATTCCGGAGAGGCCTAGGTCGGTTTCAGAAGAACCTTGGCCATTGGGCAATCTTAGTTCCTTAAATGTTAGGGAAGCAATGGAAGCTCCCGCACAAACAGTATCTGAAAGTTATGTTGGGGCATGGCAAATCGGGGATCAGAGTTGCAAAACTGAAGTTGTTGATCCACCTTATCTTGCCCGACCAGTTGCAAAGGTTGGTGCATTCAAACCATACAATGTAGGACCTGCTCAATCATCACAAAAGGAAATGCTGAGCTTTGCCACCAAGTTTGACTCAAACCTTCATCCTTTCAAGCCTGAAAATGGGGTCTGCAAGTTTGTTGATCCTACAAGTTTTGCTGCTGAGGTGCCAAATAAATGTGGGCATGGCTGCTGCAGTTCTCATGGGCAACTTCGTAAGAACTCATTGCTGGGTCCCGAGTTTAATGAGTTTGAAGATCATCCACCAATTTCAGATAGTAGTTTTGCTTCGTTGGTGTCAGAAATTAGCAGCATTGCCTGGATGAAAAGTGGTTTGCAAAGCAGTGACACCTTAGCGCGGTCTGTTCCACCAGCTTAACAGATTAGGATAATGTAAATTAGTGAGATGAAACTTTTGGAGTCAATTTTTATATATTAAGGTGTAATCAAGTCAAATCATGGTTATTGTTGTATTTTTGGTAGATGGACATGCATGTAGTACTTGCAGTTCTTACCATATTTTATTTCAGGTGCTCAGTACCCAACTAGGTGAAGCATGGAGGTTCTGCTTAGGCATTGGGACAAGCCTACCTCAAAAATGGAATTTTAGAAAAACTTACTAGGCAATCCTGATCGTAATTTAATGATATTTTTAGTTCCATGTCTGAATACTAAATTTTATAAATAGAACAAGCCCTCAGCTATGAGAAGTGAATATTATAATTGTCATTTGTTGTTAAATATTAATTGTCAAATAATGACTCTCTCTCTCCCCCCTTTTAATGACTCATGAAATTAGTATTATTTGATGTTATAGTTATTGACTTGTGCCACAGTTTTTTTTAATAACATCAGGAATCAAGATCTTCTGATAATGGAATAATCTAATATATGAGAATTTTTGTTTACTAGGGAACATGTGGGATCTGTCTATGTGCTATGTCTGGCATAAATAAAGTCAACTGATAAATTAAAATACATTAGCAATAGAACAGTGCTATCATACAAAATTGTGATGACAACCGATTAAGTGCAGAGAATTAAAATTTGAAAAAAGAAACATTAGGTTACTCTCTTGGATTTGCGCAAATGTTTATTTCCAACTATGATCCTTGAAAGTTGAGATTTAATTTTGTTACATTTTGTTGCATATGCATGACTATTCCTTAGGCAGAATAAACCGTTTAGTGTAATTATGCGATTCGGTTTAGTGTACTATGAAGACTCAACTTTTCTCAAGCTAATTTCGAATCA